ATCCTTGAAGCCACGACGACTTACAACTAATTACAATCCGTGAGTCTGCCTAAAAAATGTCATTAGTTATAGATTACTTATATTATATTATATTCCTTCTACATAAATGATCCGTAAATTAACTGAAGTCAGTTTTATTGCAGTAATCATTTATGATCGTTTCTCGTTACGTATCATTTATATATCTGTAACCGGCCTTTCTCTTCCGTCTCTATCGCCGGACTACATCAGCGTTTACGAGTTCAACTGAAATCGTTAAGCGTTAGATAGATCTCAGGTTTAGCACGTGTACCAAACAAGGCGATGTATTTATCGTTTCCATTAGGTATAATGGTTTACTTTAGATCCAAAGAATTCTGGCTTGTCGTAATAATATTATCTCTTGAGTGCTCTCGATGCGAGGAAAAAAATAAACATACTTACATCACTGTGTGTAAGTTTGTCTTCCAACGATAGTATCTAACAGTCTAGATTGCGTTAAACTTAGAAACGGACTTCAGAGTTTTGTATAAAACTGGGTCCTTGTGGTTACACCGACTCGAAGTTCTAAATGTCTATTCCCGTGTAGGATAGTGAAAAGCAATCTGGTCTTTCGCGGTTTTATCGCTTTGTTTTATGACCGCTTCATAAAGATGCCAGGAATATAGTTATAATAATGTACCAGTAAAATGTTTTGCCTGCAATCGAAATTCAGTTTAGATTATAATGTTTTTTAATTGCAAATTAAATTTTTATTTATGGTGTAATCATTTGAACACTTGGATAATGTTTGTAGGATAACGACAATGGGAAAATCTTCCACCGAGCGGGTGAAATTGCTCGGTATTCCGACGGTCCCAATGTTATTGTTCAGAACTTGTTTAAACATATATGCAAACTTTTTTGAAAATGTCGTTTGCGAGATTCAGTCGTCTTTCAAATATCTTGTGTTCTATAATAACTACCGCCGCAAAAGCTATATTCGTATTATATAGTTATTATATTTGTCGTTATTTGCGAAATTTTCACTTTTTCATTTCTTAATAATGATTTCTCTGGTTTGCGCCTTTTTTTTATTGCCTAGATGGGCGGTTGAGCTCACAGCCCACCTGGTGTTAAGTGATTACTGGAGCCCATAGACATCTACAACGTAAATGCGCCACCCACCTTGAGATATAAGTTCTAAGGTCTCAGTATAGTTAAAACCGCTGCCCCACCCTTCAAACCGAAACGCATTACTGCTTCACGGCGGAAATAGGGAGGGTTGTGTGGTGGCACCTACCCGTGCGGACTTACAAGAGGTCCTACCACCAGTAAATATGGTCCCTTATGTCTGTTATTAAGATATGTTGGTTGTTAGGCTAATAAATAACACCATTTATAACTATTTGAAGATTAATGTAAATAATTTAAATCAAACTCACTGGCTCGTAACACAAGTTAATAAACTTGGCAAAATATTAGGGTGTTGAAATCAGAACTAAGAAATTTATTAGGGTAGGATGCGGCAATCCAATTAGAGTTTCCATCGTCCGAGTGGCCCTGTTGCGAATCCACTAGCAGCGCTGGTTCGACTCGTGACGACTGACCGTTTCCCGTCGCTCGTTGCTTTATTAGCTGCCGTAAATTTCGTAGGTTTGGCGTGTCTCGTCTTGATGTTCATTAGCGAGGGGTCGACGATTTCATGACATGAGACATGGTTGTTGTCTATTATTATTATTCTCGTCTCTCATGAAACTCGGAATATTGGTTTAGACAATAAGGGCATTCTTTAAACGTATTATCATGACCTTGATTTCGTTCCTGCAATTGTGAGTTCTTAATGTCGTCATAACTCATTAAATATTGTCAACGTATACTTTAATCATGTAATTAAATACAAAAACGCAACCCCGATCTCTATCGACTGCTTCTAACTTCTTCTAATCCCCTATTATCCTTATTATTTTAATATCAAATAACCTCCCCTAATACCTCGACCTCTGCTCTATCTATTTGTGCCAATAATCTTTACCACATGAGTCAACGAAGTATATTATACCCTAGTTTAACTTATCGGATAGTATAAATGCAATAAATTTAGTGTTCTTTATTGTATAAGTAAACATTTTTATTAGTAACACAATTGAATTTGGTCAATTTGACTGGTGTTCTTACATCATATCATTTATGGAAGAAAAACAATAGAATACAAATAAGTTTCAAATAAATAATACATTTGTAAAGTCTTCTAAAGGTATCGGGTGAAATTTTAAGAAATATTATGAGCTTCTAAAAGAGCGACAATAAATGAGGAGAACAATACAGTTCGGTAGAATTCGATGAATGCATTGTTTGCGGTAAACCGATTAGTATCTTTTAAATAGTACGTATTTAAGCTACAAAGCATTATTTTAAATGTATTATTTATTTGAATTTTAACTGTAAACATACATTTAGATACAAAACAATTCGCTTTGAGGAGTCCAACACAAACTAATATTACAGTTTATGAAAGGTTTTTACTGCAGGTTTTTTTTCGCTGTTCAAAAAGCGAGTTAATTTGTCGCGGAACAAATAAATATTTCAACAATTATTACTTGTTCATATTAATATTTCAACAATTATTACTATTCTACTTGTTAAATTTGAATCTCAGAGTATGTTTTCATTGGGTAATCTCTTTTTTTTATTATTATTATTGTATTCCATCTTCGAGCCGATGAATTGCCAATGTTATGTACGCCATTATTGTCACATGCAACAGGCCATAAATTAAATAGTTTAAGTTATTTTCAATGTTAAACGTTTGTGATGTGGCAGTACCTTTTTAAATAAATAAATGAACAACCCTTTATTCATTTATGGGAACGAAGCAATCATATTTTCCTTTCCGCATTCGCTATTTCGATTGCTAATCTCTAACACTTCTCCATTACGTTCGTTGAAAGTCATTGCACTTAATAATATTCGCTTTGTAAACATTAATTTCAATTGTTCGACAGCACCTGTTGCTTTTAAACCAAAACATCGTAACAATAATATACTTGTAGTTTTTCCGTTTATTGCCGACTGAATCATACGTTCGGTCCTATGAAGTCGGTTGTTAACTGGTCTACCTAATTACTCTGAAAGCTATCGACCAAGCTCACGACTTTCGGTATCTAATCTATTATCTTAGGTAAAATAAGAAAGCACAAAATGTAAAAAGCACGGAATGGGATCGAACCTTGTATTTCACTGCCCGAACAAACATCCAGCACAGAATAACTGTTTGCCTTCTGGCTTTACAGTCCCTCTTTCGAAGAATTTCAAGAAACCAACGATGATGAAATAGATGGTAGATTAATATAAACTACACACCTAACCTGCCAGAATGGACAAACCCTATACCTATCAACACCTATGAAATATAATGATTAGTTACAAGAAAATTTCAAACAACATTAACGATTTAATATCAACATGCACTACGCAAACAATGCAACACAATTATTATTGGACCTTGCAACCGGCACTTATCGTCCGTTGCACTCGGCTCTGCATTATAAACGTTTCTCTATCAATTCGAACAATTATAATAATACGTTTCAATTATACAAACGATTGTTTTGGTTACATTCGAATAATAGCTATTGTATACTTCGAATGGAACTACCCTACCCGACTTACTCTAAATCCAATAAGATTTTTATTCAAAGAACGTCTTTCACAGCTCACTACTTCACACCGTAGCTGTACTATTTTACAGCTTTCCACACACTATTTTCTTACGTTTATCTAACTAAGTAGCACACGCTGGTAAAGCAGCCAATGATGTAGTAACGAACGCTTAGTCTAAGATCAAGTTTCTTTAATTATCTTCTTCTTGCCTTTATACCACATTATATGGGGTCGGCGCCGCATGTCCTGTTATCATGCTGCATAGGCACCTGACACCTTACGACCGGCTGCCTTCAATGCAACGTGTCTTTGCAAGGTCCTAGAGGGACCTTTTCTGTTTCTTCTTCTGGTGTTTCTTTTACTTCATCCGTTTATGGTTCTATAACTTGCATCTTATTATTATAAATTGTTACACTAAAATTTAGATTTTCAAATACCAAAACGATGGTCGTCAGTAGTAGTCGTGTCCTAAAGAATAAGACGTCCGGTGCATTCGTACCTAGTTCATCCATACTACCTTGCCTAAAAACAGTGCCTTCATCCACGGTGTGTTTTCAGAGAACTTTTCTGCCCCTTCTTATCCTCCTGCTTTGGAATGAACTTCTCTCCTCGGTTTTTCCTGAGCCTTCCTGAATGGGTAGGCAACGCATTGGTTGTGTCCCAAACATTGTTGACGTCCATGTGCCACGGTACCCACTCTCTATCAAGTGGGCCGTATGCTCGTCAGTTTACAAAATTCAATAAGAATATGTCTACGATTCGCAATAACCGCAGATCATAATATCACAAATCACGTTAACAAGTCAAGTTTTCAATGCGTTATCAATTGCGGACGGCGCGGCGTGGAATATTCTCATACATTGCGCAGGAGTTTCAATTGGATGATTGGTCATACAGAAAGGATGACCGGTAATTTGACCATGTATGTACATAATGTAACGTGATTGTTCGCTTTCAACGACGCAATGATTTCGTTTCATTCAATGTTGTATTACAATGTAAGGATGGTATCTTTAGCCGAAGTCAGATCAGGATATCTATCCATCTCCATACATTTAGATTTAGAACCCTAATAATTTTTTCACATACATTCAATTTTTTTTGTAAATCTACCCCATACACTTTTGTGTGTGGCATGTTGACATAGCTGCCCATAGACACGAGAAAGCGGATGCCGCCGTCTACAGACATGCCCTAGTGATTACATGTTTGTGTAATGTAATAACATCTTCAGAAAAAAGTACCTTTTATTATCGCTTCTGTGATTCAGATATACCATTAATTAGAGCGATCATAAGGGACTTCAATATCAATTAATAATGAAATCGAGCTTGCTGCCATTTTTACAGTATCTTAATATAAATTTATTACTATTTCAGGTTGAACAACGCGATGTGCCCGGTATTGACTGCGCCAACCTTGCGATGGACACCGAAGAGGGCGTGGAAGTCGTGTGGAATGAAGTCCAGTTCTCCGAGCGGAAGAACTTCAAAGCTCAGGAAGATAAGATACAGACGGTGTTCGACAACCTGACCAGGCTTGAACACCCTAACATCGTCAAGTTCCATCGATACTGGACTGACACGCATAACGACAAACCCAGGGTATGCATTTCAATTTTACTCGCTATTCTTAATGGACCGTTTCTCAATTATATATTTATGCTACATTGTGATATAATTATAAGGTAATGCCCCCAACGACAGAATGCAGCTTAACACACATTTCTTAAAAGATATGAAGGGACCGTATGAAATACACGAACAGTCGAAACCTTTCGGATTTAGCGAGCTCTAGCAGTCAATTAACAATTTTAGGGTTTGTGTATCTCTACATCGCCTTTTACGATACCCACGGTAAGCTACCACCACAACCACCCCAAAGGCCAATATCCTAGGCCAATGCCAAACAGCTGTAGCAGTATGAAAATATTAAGGGAAGAAATAACATATAGGCAAAAATCGGAAAAGTCGACTAATTGATATCCATTGATTATTTCAGGTAATTTTCATTACTGAGTACATGTCGTGCGGCTCATTGAAGCAGTTTCTGAAGAGAACGAAGCGCAACGTGAAGAGGCTGCCCCTCCAGGCGTGGAAGCGATGGTGCACACAGATACTATCTGCATTAAGGTACAAGTTCGTTTGGGCTTACTTGAAATATCTCGTTTTCATAACTCACGTATTTCATTCGTTGAAATTCGATTTTCAGTTATCTCCACGGCTGTGTTCCGCCGATCGTCCACGGAAACCTGACCTGCGACACCATTTTCATCCAGCATAACGGCCTGGTGAAGATCGGCTCTGTAGCGCCCGACGCAATTCACCACCACGTCAAGACCTGCCGCGAAAATATGAAGAACATGCACTTTATCGCCCCAGAATATGGATGTAAGTACAGCGATAAGCTGCCATTCTAGCACCGAGACTACAAAGTTTCCTTTGCTTTGGTTTTGAGCTTTTTGCTTCTTTCAACTCTGCGGATTTAATCAAACGAGGCAAAACGCAAACACCACAGCAACGGAAACTCTGTGGTCAGATATTCATTTCACGTTTATTTCCCCTTGAATTAGCATCTCAAATGGTGACGCCAGCAATGGATATCTACTCGTTCGGAATGTGCGCTCTGGAAACCGCAGCCCTCGAAATCCAAGGAAATGGAGACTCTGGCAGCCACGTCACGGAGGAACACATCATACGGACGGTCGAATCGTTGGAGGATCCCAGACAGAAGGACTTTATATACAGGTATATTAGCTTCTCTGTGTTCTTGTTCGCAGGTTCCGTGTAAACGGTAAGTCAGGATTCTCTCTGCTCTTCGGTGAACTGATGGCGTGTTCTGGTGTTGATATGTCTGGGTCTTGTGTTCGCAGGTGTATAAACCAGCATCCCGAGAAGAGGCCGACGGCGAGAGAGCTGCTCTTCCATCCACTGCTGTTTGAAGTCCATTCCTTAAAACTGCTGGCGGCCCACACGCTGGTTAATACAACCGGTAAGGATTTCTGCTCTGACTGGCGTAGCAAAATCAGAATCGAGATATTTCAATGTTTTTTTTTTTTTCATTTCAGCTAATATCTCCGAAACTATAACTGACGAAGTGACCGGCGGCAGCAGCGGCGAGGCGCTGGCGTGGTGCGTGCGCGGCGGGGAGCGCGTCGAGATCGCGGCCAAGGACCTCCAGCCGCACGCTGAAAAACTAGAGAAATTTGTCGAAGACGTCAAGTAAGTGACTTTAGAAAAATGATTGTGCGAGGTTCGGACGGACGCCAACCGCCACCTCCGCGCCCGTATTTATACTTTCAATTTGTGAACTCAAACTTTCTTTTTTCAACTCAAACGATATTTTTGCGTTTCTTTAGCTGTGTGATTTTTTTAATTTGTTTTGTTTGACTCTCAGTGCAAGTAAAATAATTGCTTTAGTTAGAACATGAATGTTTCTAAAGTAGACTAACAGAAATGGCACTAGTAAAACAGAGCATGAGTCGATCGTCCGGTCCCCAGGTACGGCATCTACCCGCTGACGGCGTACGGGTCGGGGGCGGGGGGCCGCGCCTCGTCCCCCGAGCGCGCCCCCGCCCCCGCCGCCTCGCCCCCCCCGCGCGACACCGAGTCCCGCCGCGTCGTGCACATGATGTGCAACGTGGCGCCGCCGCCGCGACACAGCGACGCGCCCGACCACGACCTGCTGGTACGTACGCAGCGTCGGGACTGTCCAGTCTACACATGAGCCACTTGCTTTGTAATCACCGCCGCTCAGTATGCGACTTCACTAAACGCACAGTACGCGGCCCGTCCGTTGCAGATGACCATCATCCTGCGCATGGACGACAAGATGAACCGGCAGCTGACGTGCGCCGTGTCGCGCCGGGACTCCGCGTCGCACCTCGCGCGCGAGCTGGTGCAGCTCGGCTTCATCCACGAGGTCAGCCCGCCTCCCTCGGCGCCAGTCGGTAGGCACATGCGCTCGGTGACTCACTGTTGAACTCTGCACAGGCGGACCGCGACAAGATCTGCCGGATCATGGAGGAGTCCCTCCGCGCCAGTTTCCCCCCGGCGGCGGAGCCCCCCGTGGCGGCCCCCCCGGCGGCGGCGGCCCGCGCGCCTCAGCACGTGGCCAGCTAGTGCGGCGCCCCCCCGCCCGCGCGTCCCCCCCTCGCCTCGCGCGCAGCTCCGCGCGGCGGTCGGTCGTCGGAGGTGTGTTTTGTTTATTGCAAAAATCTCTTACGATTTTTACTGGCTCTTTGTAATGTAAATCTAGAGTTCGCAGCGTAGCCTCGGGTATCTGTAGTGTACTTTATGTATGTATCTAAAATCGTATGTAAATTTTTGTATCAAACACGGTTTGTAAATTAGTGTATGAAACCAAATTCGATAAATAATGTGATGTTGAGCTATCAGCGAGCGAGCCGCGCCCGTGGACAGCTGCTGTTGTCTCTCGGCTCAGTGCAGCACCTCCAACTCAAACTATACCCTAAATTACCCGTCCACTAAAATTTTCAGTTTCGTTTTATTACTTTATATGTGTGCGCTGAATATTTTCCAATATTGTCCTTTTTAAGTTGAATTATGTAACATAAATATGTAACGCGTGTGTGCTCACGAGCGCTCACGGTTTTCCATCTACAAGCAATGAAAACAAAACGCTGCAACAAGGTTGTGTGTAACGAGCAAAATAAAGAATTAAGAAAATTTCAGCAAAATTACCACTTGCAAAGAGCCCACTTGGCCGCATCACGCGTGAACATCCGTGATCATCCGTGACCATTCGTGAGCATACTTGAACAAACAGGCGCAAGTATGATGCGTGCTCTACTCGATATCCAAACGTCTTATCGATTTTAGAACATCTAGTTGTTTATGTCGTTATGTGTAATGATAGACGGCTACGGCTGCGGTGAGCCGGCGCGGTCCTGCGCGCACTGCGGACTGCGCGAGGCACAGCTCGGCCTCGCGATCGAACCAGCGGGTCTAGCAGCCGGATTAGAAACAAATCAATTAAATAAATTGAGTGCTATTATCAAAAATGTATTTTAAAATGTTAGCAAAGTAATCAAGTCAGCCTCGGGTCGGGGACTCGACCGGCGGAGGTTCGGTATTAGACGAGTATTTGTCCGATTTTTGTTTAGATTCATGTGAATACCGATGTACATGAAAATAAGCCTGCACTGATTAATAAATTTTATGAAATGAAAACTAAAACGTTATGTGTTGTAAAGAACCTTTCCTTATTTCAAATTGATGGACCTCTCGTGGTTTGCTCAGGCCCCCGCGCCGGTCCCCTCGTCGGCCCCCTCCGCCGGAATAATCAAATTGCTAGTCGAGTGTGAATCTAAAAACCGGACTGACCGAATCGTTAAGGAAAAAAATAGTTGAATATTGAAAATTATTTAATCGACAATGATTCGGCGAAGGTTTATAGTTGTTAGTGTGTACATCGAGAATGCTTTAGTATAGAAACTTTTGTATGAATGTGTAAATGTTACAAAAATGATATTTAATTAATATAATAATATATAAATAAATGTGAAACTTTAAAAAAAAACATTAATCGTAATCTGTATAGTGAGGCTTCCTTTTAGAGCTTTATGGACGTGGTATACGGGAAAATGAACATACTCACTAAGTGTTTAAGGTCGAAATTTATTTGTTTAGCGTTGGTTTTTTAAATGTGCAATAGTTCTCAAACTTCCTCTTTAAATCGGCGCTCACGCACTTGTTGGATACGCCTAGAGTCGTGGTCAATTCTGTGATCGCGAAAACTACTTGAATACGTATTCTCTTGAAGGAAGCATTAGAGTGTGTGTGGAACGATCGTCTCGAGTTTGAAATCTATTGTACTTTTAAGATTCAAAATTATTTTTTTGTAAATTTTTGTACATTTTACAAGTCGGTCAATGTGAGTGCAGTAGGGCACGTAGGCTGCGCCGACGCAGAATTAGTTTATGAACAAGTCAATTTCAATAGAATAATGCCTTTTTTAAATAAAATACTTATTTACAACTGCATTTAAACGATTTAATTGTCGCGATTCCGATCGTCGTGCGTTGCTCGCACGCGGACACGTTTAATGACAGTTATCAAACTTGAGGTTTAATGACAGCTGTCAAACTTGACGTCACTGCGAAGTGTAGCCCGACCGGACCTCGTTGGTGAGTGGCTTCTGCGACCCTCGCAGCAGAGGGTGGACCCCATCACCCTGTTTATTTTCAACAAAAACAGGTTATGGTGTGGTTCTGTGGTAAAGTGCAAGAAGTGGATCGGGCAGCGCCCCCAGTGGCCCACGGACAGCGGTCAGGCGGACACCACTCGCGACGACATTTTGTGCTTTTGTTTTCTTAAGGAAGGCACCTTGTTCCTATTTTTTATTTCGGTGCTGATTGTGAAATATCTTTTTTTTGTTTTTTCTTTGATAGTTGCAATTACACGTTTTAAAATAAATCTCTTGCAAAAAACAGTAACAAAAAATAACGCAGATCTTTATCCAATGTTCGTGTGTTTCGTTGAATGCTAGTGGTGCCAAACTTACAAGGTGCCAATAAAATGTTACGGAATTCTATCACATAACACGCTTCACGATATCAACTGTACACTGTATTTTAGTACCAAAAATAATAAATTGTTTCTTGTCCCTTCCATCTCTACACCGCAGCAACAATAAAGCTGAATATTATCCGAAAAAACAGAATTGTTGGCAAACATTTTGTTATTTGTTCTTATTCGTTGCGTATAGACTCGAACTGCATCTAAAAATATGTACAATTACTTTTCCTCATTTTCTGCTCATTTATTTTTGGTACCTACTTAAAACGAGCGATGTATAGTTAGGGAAGTAACAAAACGTTCGCGTTCTCTTCATAATTTCAAATTGTAAGCTTTTCACGTTTGAAGTCGTGGACACAAATACGTACGTCGTCCGGCGACCTGCGAACTGATCCTTATACTTCATTTACTAGTTTCTAAACCTGCCAACTTCCAGCACTTCCTGCCCGTCGCGTAGATCAGGAGTCGTTACTGAAATTTATGAAAATTGCATTGAATATATATTTTTAAGTACGTTGCTGACCGGCCGACGCACGGCCCTCACACAGACAGCTCGCGTCACGCCGTCGGCCGCTAGTGACGGGCCGCGTCACGCCGTCGGCCGGTAGTGACGGGCCGCGTCATGCTGTCGGCCGGTAGTGACGGGCCGCGTCATGCCGTCGGCCGGTGTAGCGGCACGGCGGTGACTCCGCAGGAGCACGGAGAGCGCGTTTATATGAACTAGAAGCGGTCTTCCATTTCATATAAAACAAGATCTCCCGCGCGGCCGCCGCTGTGTCTGTGCCTGTGTACCGACTTGCTTTTTTTATTTTATTATGAAATTATCTTGAATCTTGCTTATGATTTTAAACTATATATATTTTGCACAAACCTGAAGTTTTGAGATTTTGATTCAATATATTATAATGTTTTTATTATTATTTTTGTTGTTATTCAATCTGCTTTATTATTAATAACCCCACAATATCGTTCTGTTATTAAAATATATCTTTATGTACTGCGTATTACTTTTTTATTTATATTATTTAATTTTAAAATGAACACATTAATGATGAAATTTAGTGAATCTTGTTTTTAAAGTGAAATTGTACCCAGGGTGTTCCCGCGTCGTGTGTCCAAAGAGTGATGTGTTCATGAGTTGGTTTTTCTTTTTTGTTTNTTAATAACCACACAATATCGTTCTGTTATTAAAATATATCTTTATGTACTGCGTATTACTTTTTTATTTATATTATTTAATTTTAAAATGAACACATTAATGATGAAATTTAGTGAATCTTGTTTTTAAAGTGAAATTGTACCCAGGGTGTTCCCGCGTCGTGTGTCCAAAGAGTGATGTGTTCATGAGTTGGTTTTTCTTTTTTGTTTTCTTATGAGATTGTAACTTTAATGTTATTTAATTGATCCAGAATTGCATTTTTTTTGTTTTTTATTTATTTTCTCGTCTACCATAGATAGGATGTAACCGGAGTATAATTTAGGTATAGTAAAGTATGTTATTATGCTCAAAATGACTTTTAACCTTTTTATTTTCAAGATCGTAATATGATCGGCCGATGTGTGCATACTATTCTAAAATGAGAAAATGTCAATAAAATTGTATTTTGAAAACATAAATATTGCTGTTTTTGTTCCTACGTGATATATGTAGTTGCGTGTTTATATGATTCTGGTGTGTTTTCGTCACGAAATGATTCCAAGTTATCAGCACGTACGAGTCCCATGTGTCGATGTCTGTTTCTGCCGGGGCCACTGGGCCCGCCCGTTATTTACAATTGGGGTCCTGTTTACTATTATGAATGGTGCCCAATGAAACGATTTTTCTTCACAAAAACAATTTTATTTAGTTACATCACACTTCTACATAATATCAGATTACTCATTGAGATTATATTAATGTAATAAGTTTTACAATACGAAATTTAAGTCTAACATTTGCTACCCGAAGTGTTATTAACTACGCTACTCTGCACTTTCATCCTATACTAGCCTTTTATTTTACCAAAAACTATGACAGAACATTTCATACAAACTTTTCACATGCGCTCACATTATTTCTTAAGTACAATATTTTGGAAGTACAGTGTTTACACGGTACAATGTTCCTAAAACAGAGTAAATTTATTTCAAAGTTAAAGGCACACATTTTTGAATAGTTTTTGGTTCCTAAACTGTACATGTCTTTGGCAATATTTTAAAGATAACATTAATTTAAAGATAAACAAAGTAAATATAAAAAATTAAGAAGTGAATCCTGCCGATATTCCGAAAATTAACAATCAGTATTTTACTGATAAATTAAACAAATAGATACATAAACATTGACTGTTTTATGTTATGTATTTGAATTTTGAATATGGTTTAACGGTGTGTCTATTTTCTTTACGACATATGTAAATAAAAACCTTTTTATGTAATGTTTACCTTTGTTTGTTAACCTTTGAAAATTTTTAGTTTAAAATAAATGTTTTTCCTTGTTTAGATTTACTGAACTCTGTCATTGAGAAAAAAGAGGAGTTCAGTTTTACTTAATTCAGTAATACTGTGTAAATTAATAATTTGAGGAAAATAAAGGCATTAAATATTATTTTCTTAATATTGTACAGAATACGCAATGAAGTCTTTTAATATTATTGCTTAATCATTTTAAGAATGATTCCACATCATTTATAAATTAAGCATGGAGGGTAGAGGTAAGGCGAACCGTCTCTGTCTGTGAAAAGTGTCCGTTAAAATCTGCTAAATAAGGGTGGCGCTACTGTAGCAACTGGGTAAATTTAAAAAAAGGCGCCAAGTTATTAGAATAAGATAGAGAAATAAAAAAGAACGAAAGAACTGTAAGCACTACAAAATCACAAAAAGTATCTTAGTTTGGAAATTAGTTTGGACTACGTAAACATGTGAGGTTTTGTATATTACACTGTCACTACTACTCTAGTCATTAAATATATTAAATTTGCTAACTCAGCATACTTCAATCAGTTAACAACTGCTCCATACATTTCATATGTATATGCTATTCCTGTGTATATGCTAGCGCCATTCTGGAGGATTTTTGATCTGTCATTTAGTACCTACAGAAAGTGGGTCACTTTTTCAAGCTTCTCCCATATGAGACGGTTCTCCTGACCTCTACCCACCATAAAATGAAGTAAAACTGAACTCCTCTTTTTTCGCAATGACAGAGAGTTCAGTAAATATATATAAGAAAAATATTTTTTTCAAAACTAATAAGTTCCAAAGATTTTATATAAAAATTACATAAAAAAGGTTTTTTTTTACACATATATATCTAAAATACTTTTTTGATTTTCCCCTTAAACCCAGGGACATACTAAATCACTATGTTCACAGTATATATGTGTCACTGCTGTGAATGAAATACAAAGCTTTTAAAAATTATTACAATTCAAGATTATTTTAGGAGCTGTTTCTCATATAAACTCATGTGGATAGCTCCAGTTCGTTTAACATTGTGTTCACACGGTTTATATCAATACGCAGATGTTTCAATCTTGAACCCAAAAAAAAACTTTCTATTTGCATGAAAAAAGTATAAGGGACTAATCCACATGTATCAATGAAAACAATTAGCATGTAAATATGAAGATTCTTCCATCTCAATACAACTTATAAAACGAACATCAAATAAATGTGTAATCAAAGATGGAATCTATGCGTTAAAAAGAAAACGGTCCACTTTTTTTAAACATTACACAACCTAATTTTAATAATGACAAAAGTATAATCACAATTAAAATAAGAGTTACAAAATAATAACGTTTGTCTGGTTCCTCTCATTGTACAGTTGTATTGACGCTTTCGATTGCATGTTTCGCCCATATTACAAATGGCGTGCCATTACACAATATCGGAAGATTATTAGGTTAAAAATATCTAGGATACTATGACGTGACACTAGTATTATTCAATAAATAACGACCTATGTTACTTTGTGTCGAAAACATTAATATTCATGTAGAATAAAGTATGTATTCAAATCATTTATATTAAAATATCATTCAGTATTTTACGACCCGTTAGTATTAAGGTCAATTATTTCTAATTAATAATGCGTGATTAATTTGAATGATTTTAGATTAACACGCNGGATACTATGACGTGACACTAGTATTATTCAATAAATAACGACCTATGTTACTTTGTGTCGAAAACATTAATATTCATGTAGAATAAAGTATGTATTCAAATCATTTATATTAAAATATCATTCAGTATTTTACGACCCGTTAGTATTAAGGTCAATTATTTCTAATTAATAATGCGTGATTAATTTGAATGATTTTAGATTAACACGCACATACATACTGATCATACATATGACATACCGACATACTGATCGGTACAAATACATGCAGGCATAGTACGAGATAAGTAAAAGTTAGAAATGTGAACGACATTTTATTAGAAAATAAATAACTTATGCCTTTCCGTGTCGTTGATTTTGCATGAATATTAACGTGCGGTTCGCTGTACGCTTGTTCGTTAACAGATTGCGTAAACTTGCCTTTACCACCTATTGCGCTCAACTTTTCAGCATAATTTCATATCCTAAATCTGTAAGGGACTGCAGAAGGTTTGGCCTCTACTGGCTGTTTCTCTTCTTCGTCAGGAACATAATAATGCAGTTCGTAAGCCGGCGACAGTTCCACGGTGACATTCTCACAGTGCGGATCGCAGGGCTTGTTCTCCAAAACGGAATCCGGCTTGGTAGCCGCTATGTCATTGTACAATCTTTTCATAAAAGCAGTCGACGACGCCAATACTTTGCTATTATCCTCTATCTTCTTGTGAACGACGCTACTATTGTAGATAACAGGGAAATCAACCTTAAATCGCTCGCTGTTCTGGTTGAAGTTAGCAACGAACCTGTTCAGCACGTCTCTGCGGAACTGCGAGTCGTAGTCGTCGTCCAGGCTCGGCGGTTGTCGTTTGTCGGTCGTCAATTTCGCCAACTCGTGAGCAGTGACCCCGCGGACCGGCGCTTCGGTGAGCATTGCGTAATCTTGCCTGTCGTCATCGCCTCTGGCCGCTTCGTTGATAAAATCGCCGTAATGCTTGACAACATAGGACGCTCTGTTGAAATGACCGTCGCTACCGTCAAATTCGGCATGCTGTTGCGGTACCGGTCCCGATTCGGTGAGATATAGATTTGTGTTAAAGTTCTCTGCTTTGTATCTTGGGAAACCAGTTGGTTTGATTACACTCTCTTTTTTAGCTTCTGGTGTCGCGAGCAGTGTTCTTGACGGGCCGTCGCTCTCTGTGTCTTTAACCGTCAAGGAATTTACTTTGCTATGGAATACGTTGTGATCATTAGTTGTCGGTGCAACACGGGGTGGGAAGAACTGAATGGTCGGCCTTCGATCCGGAAAGTAGTAGCCTGATGTAAATGTGACGGGTGTGGAAGTGTATGTCTCTTTAACTGGATGAGGATGTTTCTTTATGTCCATTTTTGTCAACGTAAGGTACTCTGCGTCGTACTCATCTGTTGTGTCGTAGTATTCAGCAACATTGTAGGTTTTTGGCTTGTCTGTGTTAGAATCAACGGTACCTTGGTGTGGATTAACATCTACATTAAAATTTCTTTTCTCATCGGGCTTTTGCATGGTTGTGCTTGGAGTGGAAGTTGGTCCATTTGAGATTTGAATTTTCGACTTATTGCCAGCTTCATTAGAGTTGTCTTTTTCTTCGTAATCACTGTAGACTGTATCCCCGAATTTATTGATTCTCTTCTTCTTAGATTTTCTCACTTCAGCAATTTTTTCTAATCTCTCTCTCAAATCTGGTATGCCACCTTTACTGTCCCTTTCTCCAAGACTGTTAAGTATGGTTTCGGTTTTGTTTCTCAAAACTTGCGTAAACGATTTAGACGCGTTTTTTGGTTTGAATACGATTCCCAGTGAACTTATACTCTCATTTCTCCAGCTATTGTCATCTGGATCTCGAACGAACGGCTTAGCTGGTTGCACTTCCAACCTCTTCATTGGTTTATAATTTGGACTTACTGTATATAAGTCAGCGTTCTTAATGGGCTCGTGTATGATTGGTTGAATGTTTAAGTCTTCGTTTGCTTGTTCTTTGTTTGTTTCATTTCTTGGAGTGTCCATTGTAGTACTTGCCTGCGCAGCAAGTGGCTTGACTCCTTCATGCGGCGATGGGATATCGTGATTCCTATCAGCATTTTCCGCGTTGTCTTTTATTACTTCTTCTTTCAATAGTTGCTCATTGATAAGATCTTCTGACTGCAAAAATAGATGAATGTTATTAATTGTACAACTCCGGAAGAACTACTTTTTTGGTTTAGTTGATACGCGAATAAATGGTTACAAGTGTCGATTGACAATACAACTAACTAACACGACTTACTATTTCGGGGTTGAAAAAGATGAAATTAAAACACAAAATGTTTTACGTTAATTACGCAAATTCATAGGCAGTTTGTAAGTCTATCTATTATTGGTTTCAATATATTACAAGACGTTACTCCTTCGTCGTGGATGCTGTACATGAAAACATGTAATATTATACATTTCCAATTATATATTTCCTTAAAAAAGACATCAGCCCCAGTATTTTGAGAATTAATTCTAGCACAGTCGTATCATCCGATACCAGTACATTAAGTTCCATTACTAATGGGTAATGTTTATCCTAGCATTGTGATGCCATAGACACTTCATAAATAAATAAAAACAGAACTGTAGCTTACCATTTGACCTACTGACTCTGTTAAACTAATATTCTTGTTTTCCGTCTCTTTGGGTTGGTCTTCAACAAATTCTAATTTATCATGTAAGTGTTCGGTTGTAGTGGACTGAGGAACTGCAGTCTTTCCAGAGTAGTCTAAATATCCGGCTCGCATCGACGATACCATGCCCACCCTCGTTTCAGGCTTTATCGAACTTATTCCCGTAATTATTTCATAGCTACTATGAGATTCATTTTTCGATTTTTCATTAGTACTTAAAACTAAATCTTTTAATCGTTCCGTTGAAACTGTAGGTATTTCAATCAGAACGGCTCCCAATTTTATATTGTTTCCTTCTCTATTTTGTTTAGAAATTGATATACTTCCATCACTAGTCAATGCGCTGGATGGCACTTTATGCGTAACGATTGTCACATAATCTTTCGTTGGTCGCGCAGTGCTTGGCAATTTTGTTTCATCATTAAAAGTAATATGCTCATCGGCTTTATTTAAAAAAAAAGTTGTATCTTCTACATTGGGAGCGTCATTGGTTAACACGTAGTCACTCGTGAACGGTTGCATATCAACAGTTGAGCTTAATTCATTGATATCCTGGATCAGATCTTTTGATACAGTAAATGCATTAGTGAGACTAGCTAATGTTGTTGTATCGTGACTTTCCTGGACCGCTGTTGTTACATCATAAAAGTCCGAGCTATTAGTGGTAGAAATTATTTCGGATGCACTGCGACTTTCGTTGATCGGCGCTGTTAAGGCGTGTTCAGTTGATTTTAATGTAACCATGTTATGGTTATGACGCACCTCTGTAAATTGTACCGGTGTCGTACTGCTATTCGTTGTTGGAGATAAAGGTGGATAATGTTCATTGTATCTAGTTAATAATTCATCATGCACAAGCGTAGTCGTAGTATTTTCTTTTGATGCATTAAATATTTCTCTTAGGTGATCTGAAGTAGGTAATTTTTCGAAATTACCTTTAACTTTTTCAACAGCTATGTTTTTCTCTGAGTTTCCACCTTCTTTATTTCGTTCAAATGATTTAATATCGTTGGGTCTTTTCAGTTCATTTTTTACTTCCAGTAAAGTACTTTCGTCAGCTATGAGGTCTACGGCCGGTAATTGTTCGCTTCTGTCCCTGGGCCGATGTAATGAAAACCCGTAGACAGTCGAGTCTAAGATCATCAATAATGTCAATGTTACTGCAAATACCCTGGAAATTGAAAAAATACGCATTTAAATTAAAATTTCAAGAATTTTTTTAATGACCAGAAAAGTGCTAAAGATACTAAGCAATATTACAAAATCTTATTAACAATCTAATTTAATATTACTAAATCTATTACAAAATCATATGCTTTGTATGGACTCTAATCATTGCTGAGCTAGTTTCTCAATAGCACTAGCCCTACCTACTACTAACATTAACACTAACACCTTAACCCACCTATTTTTTACACAAAGATGTATGTGTAAAATATTTCCATATCAATACCAAGCCAAAAATTATACGTAGGTACCCACTCAAGACTCTGAATGAAAATAATAAAAAAAGCAGCTCATCATCGCAATCTATGATTGGCTAGATCTAAATCAAACTACAATTTTAAAGTTTATAAATACCAAGGTAATGATCTTGGACAATAGGACTATTCATTCGTATCTTCAAAATTATCATAATAATTACAATATTCGTTAGGACAATGGATGTTTTAAACAAACACATGTCTATTGTAAGAAACGTGTTATGATTATATATTATTACATATCTACTACTATTTTTAACCTCATTTTACGTATTTAGAAAGTGAATGTTCAAAGTTACGAGTAATTTCAGTTATGTAAAATAATGAGCAGTGATGTAGTGAATTGTATTTTGACAGTGAACTTTGACACATTTTTTTTTGGAATCAGTGGGTACCTACGTTTCCTGATTTTTAGCAGTGGTTGTGAATTAGCATCGGCCTCCTGCTTATTTTGTGGTCCTACAAACCAATCGTGAACCTATCTCTACTTGCGTTACCAATATCACTTTTTTTTTCAACTGTGAATTTCTAAAATGTCGATATAGATCTTGGCCGAACCGTTGTGTTGTAAATTTTCTATCATTTATGTTTTGTTGCAGAAAATACAAGAGATAATCTATAAAATGATCATAAATGAGAAAGTAGACATCAAACTTTCGAATTTATGACATTTTGTTCGCATTTATTATCATGTCTTACTTTTCATTCAATTACAAATATAAATGCGGAAGAACCTTAGTGAACAATTACTAGTTCATTTCAGAAGTAAATATCATTGTTGCGAAGATATACGGATACGTATTTGATAATACGGCTAGCAATAATAACATCGAATTGGGCTATTGTAGGCACCATCATATTGAACCAGCTAAGTCATTGTAATAATGAGTAAGTAGATAAACTATATCTTTTGTATTTGGGTTTCAATTCTTGAGTACTTGCGGAATCATTAAGTACTAATTTATGTTAACAGAGAAGAATGAAAATTATTTAAAGTCTTACGTAAATTTACAAAAATAGTTTTATTGTTATATACAGAGCAGTCAAGCTCGCGGCCCACCTGGAGTAAAGTCCTTACCACAGCCTTTAGATATCATAACGTGAATGCCGCTAACACCTTGAGTCACGAGGACGACATTTTAAATGTATTGTTCAATTTGCGGCTGTCCCATCCTTGAAACCGGAACGTACAGCCGTGTCGCGGCGGCAATCTGCTGGATAATGCTGCGAGTGTGCGGGCTTGCAATACGCCCTACTACCAGTAAACACCGATGGACGAACGTAGTACACCGGTATAATACTTGGAGGACGCATCTGCTTATTCTCCGATTAATTCTTTAGTCGATTTTTCGACACTCACAGGGAAACATGGAGCGGTGCTATTCTTCGCCATTTAAGCATTTATTAATTTTATTTTTGCAATTTTAAAATGTTGTTGCTTGTTTTTTTTTATTTGTTGCCATGACAATAAGGGTGTGAATGCCCTGCACGTCCTCGCCACTTGCCTTAGAACGTTTCATTTACACCCGGTATTGTGATACCAAATTCTAGTGTCGCAACGTACGTAATGGTCATGTAACACGTATAGTCATCGCGATACTTACTCGGGACGATGTATCGATTCGGGTTCAGAATCGATTATTTAGCACGCATCGTCACGCGATCGGTATATAACCGTTTGGTATGGGAACTGGATTAACTAGTCGCAGTTACATATTATCTATTGTAAATAATGAATCCAATAAACTCATTTTTTAGGTTTATTAAAATTAGTTAAGTGCAGCAAGAACATTCTAGTAGCATATTATGTATTGCGCTCTCTTGTTCTAGTGGCTTATGATCGACCACCAACTGGTCGCTGAGTAAACTATATATATTTTTTATATTTCGCTGCGTTTGAGAACATAATCGCAACAGACACATGTGTGAGACTCGTCAACAGAGTGGTCAAGCGATCTGACATAATACTGCTAACATGAAGCTAATAATAGGCTACTATTATTTCAATCTATCAAAAAGACATAGTGTGAGCGACCACACAAACCCGTCAAAAAATCTTATCTCCCTACTTATTAAATACGTATCAAACGACAACGTATACACTGCTGCGACGATTGCATTGACAACAGACCGAATACACCGAGAAACCGTGAATAGAAACCCTTACATCATAATATTTGCAGCAAAATCTAGAATGTGACTAAAATTTAAACACGTTCAATATTTAATAATATTCGTTACTCACAAGACGTCCTACACCTAGTAATTATTACGCAAAAAATAATTATGCAGGTTTGATTTTGATTACACGATGTTATTCCTACACCGTGAAAGTCAACCGTGAACAATTGTTGTACGTATTTCATTAGAAACATTGGTCATTGGGATTCGAACACCGATACAGTCGCATTGCTCCAAACGAATGCACCAGACGTCTTATCCTTTAGGCCACGACGACTTCAAACTTGCGACCACGATTATGACTCTTTGTAGCACGTGCACCGAAATGTACGATTTACAGTAAATATGACACGAAATATACCAAGATTACAAGATACCGGAAATAATGCCATATGTGTCTCACCCCGAAATCGTTCATATACTTTTTGACAGCTGTCCATAATGTCATATGATATAACGCGCACAGACAGGACACCTGAATGTGCACGTTATGGTTCATAACAGCATGTAATGGGACCGGTTTGTTGCTACACGAATTATGTAAAATCTATCGACAATACACACAAATATGCATCAACTCTCTCTGTTTTACATTTTCATATTGAACGCTTAGATTTTAAACGAATATAGAACATAAATGTAGCGAACCTATAAAATATCTGTTTACTTGAATACATAGAGTCCTATTGTTAGTTCAATTCTGTTTGAAACATTGAAAACTTAAATTTAAAATTCAGAACTCTACGACCATAATATTCGCCTAAAATTTTAGTATTAGCTTAATTCAACTTGTTGGAATACACATTACTGTACAAACGAAATGTAAGGTGAGTACTTAAGTTAAGGTAAGTACTTAATTTTGTAATTGTTTTAAGTTTACACACAAAATACTGAGTTTTAAAGTTGTAAAACGTAAATCAAAGGTATGACGTAAAATTACGGCTCAGTTCGTAGAAGAGATTTCGAAAACGACGTCCCCGCATTATAATTAACCGGAAAAGATCTAATAGCATTAATTTAACGAGCCAACGGATATTACGTTACCTTAAATAAACTATTTAACTTTTATTGAGCGTCAAATAAATCAATTACATCACGCTGTTAAACAATGCCATAAAATTTTATGCAGTGTCTCAAAGTTGGTGACGGCAATCACGCTGCGATGTCCATGGGCCCCGGTAACAACTAAACACCAGATGAGTCCGGAACTCGTACTCCATTGCCAATCTAGAGCAATATAAAATCTTTATTGCGGACTGAAAACAGGGTAGAGAGTAATCATTGTCGAAATTGAAACTATTACAATATTGGGTAACATGTGCTACTGTGGTACGTCCTACCACAACATACACGGAACATAGTATTCCTTCGGTAAGCTCGGCATAAGACGTCCCTGTACGAAGCCTCGTATGGCGTCAGGGGCGTGTTGCAACGTCCCATCACGATCAGAGGTTATCTTCCACGTTGAGTCGCCATTAATGTTGGCGGGTGAGTCTCCGCCTCCAAATATCCAGAGCCTAGACCATCGATGATGTGATCCGAATTTGGGTTTATCATGTCGCGCCACTAATGCGAAACAGTATTTCGACGCGGTCTTAACATACGGATGGGCTCAAGAACCAGATCGTCGTGAAAATCTACATTCCTTCTACACCCCAGTGCTCTGAGAGCTATCCTACAAATACTCTTATTGTTTGGAGTGAGTCTGTGCGTGTGCGTCGTGTAATCACACTCGCTTAGGTCATGGTTGAGACTGTTTACTTCGCTTGTACAATTGGCGAGACCAAGCGCGGCGTGGTCGCGGACAGAATTTACGTTACAGTAGGTAACCTGAACATTCCGGGTTGCTCGTCCCGTCTTCTAAACCCTCAATCTCGACAGACCTTCATGTGATGGTGCATAGTACCGGCGCCCTTGTTCAATGTCTACACAATATTTATAATGCAAGTAACTCTAACAGATGGAGTTACAATTAGTGGGTAAAGAACCACAAACTTGAAGTGTATAGCTTACACCACCTTATCCGCAACTAGTCAATGGTCAAAGCCATATACTGACTCGGCGGTGCAATACCTAATTAGCGCCCCAGACTCCAAGCCAGGGGCAGTNGTGACAGAATTTATGACCTGACTATGTATATATTCAAAGTTGTATAAGTATTTATATTAGTCTCGTGTTCCCATAATACAGAAAATTGTAGTATTTTTTTTTATTGCTTAGATGGATGTACGAGCTCACAGCCTATCTGGTGTTAAGTGGTTACTGGAGCCCATAGACATCTATAACGTAAATGCGCCACCCACCTTGAGATATAATTTCTAAGGTCTCAGTATGGTTACTACGGCTACCCCACCCCACAAACCGAAACGCATTACTGCTTCACGGCAGAAATAGGCGGGGTGGCGGTACCTATCCGTGCGGACTCACAAGAGGTCCTACCACCCGTAATAGCAGTTTTGAGAGCATATCTAGAGCAAATACTTCTTAGGATGGGGCGCTTAAAGCCTTGAACGTGGATCAAAGGTAAATCGTAAATGACAGAACTGCGGAGCATTGACCACAGTTACAACAACCCACCCGCCGAGTGGACCGCAACCTTTGAACTTTAATATCAACAATGCTTTCAAGAGGAAAGTAGTAGGCCGAATTCCGGAACAATGTCTCCATTATAAAAAAAAACTTGGCCTAGTTAGATACGGGTCAACCTAATAAATTGATAGGAAGTCCTGCCTAATATGTACGTTTCACATAACTTCTTTGATAATTATACAGAATTCATTGATAGATGACGCTTTCTGATTATATGTTTATGTATTCGATGTGATGAGAAAGCGGTTTTAATCATTATTGCGTATTATGTGTGTTGTGTATGTAAATTATGTTTTTAACCTATTAACGTGATCATGCGTATTCGTTACCTCTAGGTATATGTCCATTGTAGTTCCGAATTATGGAAAACGTGATTATTCTAGAAAATTTTAAGGAGTTAAGCGATTACTGGAGCCCATGAAGATCATAAGGTATATTTACGTAGTTGGTAGTACTGGTCAGCTTCTCGCTAGCGGATGGAGCCACGGCCAAAGAAACGTCCTTCGACAGAAAATTCTAGACCAATATGACTTGAGTATCAGACAGTTTCGCAAAATAATAATATAGGAAGTAAACATTTTGGAAATGTAAACAGTTGCCATGATAAGGAATGTGGATAAATGTAAGTTACTAGCTGAACCCGTCCGCTTCGCTGGGCATTTAAAATTAACATTATTATTCTCACCCCCACAAAGATTCTCATCATTAACGCCCCCGCAACTGGTGTAGGGAGTCCAACACTCATATAAATACATATTAGCCTATCCATTAAGTACATGTATTTTCTACATGGATACCAAGTTTCAAGTCAATCGGATGCATGGTTCAGTAGTTATAACGGAACATCCGTAAAAACCACTGTAGATTTATATATTAGTATAGATAGAGATAATAAACACCCAGACAAAGATCAAACGAACCCAGTTCATCACACGAATCTTTGACCGATGTGGGCATCGAACCCGCGACCCTTGGTGCAACAGTCTAACTACTGCACCACCTAGTCACTCAAATACAAGTCAAACTAATTAAAACGTGTTTTATCTACGTTTTTATCAATTTCAGATTAAGGCACCGATCTTAATTCGTTTGAAATTTCGCGAACTTTTCTTTTTTCAATTTATTTGAATTCGTAGTCACCGTCATTGGCATTGTCAGCCACACGTAAGAAAGCATCATGATCATTAATAGATTTAATGTAGTAGTAATTAGAGTAGTAATGTTGTAGGAGTCATTCTGATTGATAATAGTAAACAACCATACCGATTGAAGACATGAGTGGATGAAGGGGATATGATACAATTTGTTCATTTTGAGAAAACGGGCAACAAACTTTTGTTACTTTTACTTTTTCTTCGTACATAACTCTTTCATCACATGCAATTTCTAAAAGTAGCCTTTAAACCCGGAGTTTTAAGGTCAAATATGGCTTATAGGCACGTTCACCTTTATTCAAAGTAAAAACTCTAAAATCTTTAAAACGGTACCTAACCCCTTCATCCACTCATGTCTTAAATTATTTCATTGGTAGTAATACCTTCTGCTCAAACATGTTACTAAATATAACGGTCAATGTTTAGGCAACTAACAGAGGCTATAGTCACTATAAGTTTGACTGGCGGTATTCCCCTGGGGTCATAAAGTCGGAATTGAACTGTATTAAGATTATGCCTATCCGTATTCACATCAGAATGCTTAATTACTTGGCGGCAGAAACGGTAGTATCAACAAACCAACACGTATTTATAATCAACAGTAAAAGTATTTTCCATTAACGTCATTTATTATAATGTATTTTATTATAATAAGTAAAGTTGATCGTTATTTTTAATTATACACACGTATATTTTCCCTTATAATGAACTCATTATTAACGTTAAAATATTAACTTTCATAATTCATTTCAAAATTCAAGTGTTCACCCAAATCGTACGTATTATCTTCTATCTTCTTGTAAGTCCCAAGTTATTTGCACTCACCGATACGTACATTTATGAAATCCGTGTAACATCCTGACCTATTAGAGGTGTAGTTATATACAATTATGGTAGCAACACACACTTGCGCATACTTCACAACCCACCTTTCAATATCAGGAGGCGACATTATCGCTACTGTTGCGCCACTCTGCGACTATAATACGCGACTTACGCACGTCTTATTAAGACGCCAGCGAATTGTTAACTGAATGCTATAAAAGCATAAACAAACGATAATCCAAGCGCCGGTGAAAGAGTCCGTAACTCGCAGAATGTTATTTTCACTTTATTGAGTTGTGCTACCGTTTTAATCATAATTTCATTGTATGTAGTTAGTTAGCGTATTGAGATTTTTGTAGTTTTGCTGTCACGTATTTTAAGTGAAAAGGAAATAATATATTTTTTATTAGACAACAAGGTTCGTTATGATTTTGCTGCTTCAAGTCAATCACGCGTCCCAGCATCGACGATAGGGTGACGCTATTTTAATTAACAGACCAATAATTTATTACAAAAGTGACTGTTGCACTTAACAAGCTATGTTTGACAGACGAGATTCAGGACTTCGACACTTGCCAGAGCCCCCAGGGTCCACTTTGTGAATACCACTGCTCACTTTAAGACATTAAATTGAAGTTAATGGTGTTAAAACAACAGTTGCCCTTCTCTTTAAACCAAAATCAATTTGTTTCGCGGCCGAAATTTATAAAAATATAAGTAGTATTCCATTCTTAATAAGATAGGTACTTAAACGAAATTTGTTTTTCACGACACAAAATATTTAGATATAAAAGCGATTTTTGAATAATGTAAATTTAAAGTTATTGCTTTTTCGTCTTCACAATACAACCCTGGCAGTAAACAGCATTTCCTTTGATTGTGAAACCGCAGCGCAGGACGCGTCTCCGTAATACGAGGCTTCCACCTGTTCCGATGCGCGGCCTCCGTTAGTTTCACATAATTACATCGTAATATTCATTGTGAATAATTCACCGTATTGTTATCTTCCGTTATTGTTACAAAACGCACTAAAATAATACGAACAATTTCCGTGTGATCGAACGATAGGTATGAACCACTTAATAAATTAAGATACATTTCGTTTGTTTTTGTAATCAGTGATGGCTTTTCAGCTCGGCCTCATGTTTTAGATCCGTGCAGACCGGTAAACATGTGCCTCTTTGCACTCCGCCCATTTTCCATCTCAATCTTGTCACTCTTGTCATGTAGTTTTGCAGGGGACAGACTTGACGTGTCTCGCGATGTCCCATCTCCCTGCTCGAAACGATTCTACTGGACTCATTTAGGGACCCTCCCACTGTAGTTTTAATATCCTCGGTCCCCCGTAATGGCGTCCTCCCGCGCGTTCTTATACCGTCCATCCTTCCCTGTACGACGAGTCGTTTTATTGATCGGCCGTCTAATTGCGAAACGTGTCCGAAAAATTCACCATTCGAGACTGTACTATAGAAAACAGACGCTGCTTGATGCCGAGTTCTTGAAGAATCGAAATTTTGGTACGAAACTCGGTCCATGAAACTCCAAGCATTCTTCTCCAGCACCACATCTCAAGAACGTCTATTTTCTTTCTTTCCACTTCTCGCACAGTCCATATGGACTGTGCGTATTAGTGTTCTAACGGACCTAATATTAATGGTTTTAATTATGTTTATTTCTATTTCTCGTAACAGCTATACGCCTTTTTGTTTAGTCTAAGCATCCACCATTATTTGAGATTAAAGTCTCAACATAATAATATGTATACGTAAGATTGCACCACGTCGCAGCCTGATATTTGAGTCACGTTCGGTGAGCTATTCTTAGCACGATCAACAATCATCATTTGATCTTACTGCGGTTAGTCCTCAATCCAAACTCAAGGCTCATGGGTTCCATCCTCAATAGTAGCTCCTCCAAATGTTGCACATTGATTGCAAATAAATTAGTATCATCCGGGTATCGCAAGTTTGCAGTTCTATACCCCCAATTGTTACATCATCTGCCCAACTCTCCAAAGTCATGCGCATTAGTAACTCGATGTACGCATTGAATAAGAGCGGCGATACAATGCAACCTTGACGTACTCCAGCACTTGGATGGAAGTTACCAGAGCAAACATCACCCGCGCGCACCGAGATTGTACCTTCCTCGTATAAGCATCTCAATAGGTGTACTAGATGTTTTCGTGTCCCCATATCTAACAAGGTGTTCCACAAAACAGACAATTTCATCCAGTAAAATGCTTTCGAGAAGTCAAAAAAACAAACTTATGTTGAATAATCCCCCAAAGACTTAGTAAAAGACCGCATATGTCAAAAACTAGGCTACCCTTGGTATCCTATTAAATTATATATGGTGCCCCAAAAATAGCGCAAGACTTGAATTTGCCGCCATTGAAGATGCAGTAAATTTGTTGGCAGCTCTGAAAAATAAACATTTTGGTAGCTGAGAGTTTAATTTAATAATAATTATAAGATTTTAGAAGAAAATCATCATACGCCATAAATCATATTTTAACGTTCACCTCATGTGAGCTTTTCATTAATATTTGTATAAATTAAAAATTTAAGTTCGATTTCATCGAATAATTGATCGATTTAAGTTGATTGCGGTTGAACAATTTTTAAATTAATTTTCATTTAAATTTTAAATCATATCTACGATACGGCTTAACAGCACAGTATACAATAATTGTCATTCCTTTAAAATTCGAACTTTGACCCATAGATAATACACATAAATGCTTTGACCTTATATAAATGTAGTACTTTTTAAATGTAGGAATAAGTAAAAAAACGTTTCATTGATCTTGTCTGATCTTCAAAAATAGTTTTGTATTTTGTCCTACAGTTACGATGGGCCGTACTGTGAGCAAGAGGTGCAAGCACAGTAAGACTATTAACTTCATTTTCTTTAATTAAAATTCATTTCTAAGCAGCAACGCACCTCCTAAAAAGCAACATAAGCTTTCGCTTGATTTTTCTTCTTGTTCGACAGTTTGATGCAACTTGGGGCTTAGAGTGACCGTGCTTCTCATTCTAGCCCAGCGCCGCATCTACTTACACCTGCCTGTCTTATCCATCTAATGTATAAAACTGTAATCAAATATTTTAATCGCAAGATTTACCGGCGATACTTTTTTTTTAGAACAATAAAAAAAATCGAAATTGAAGAATAAGCTTACAATCGTTTGTTTAACGTAGAAGCAAATTTAAATCATTCGAGAAGCTTGGATAAAATACCTCTTTGGTGTCAAAATTGCATCTCGTTCTTGTAAGATTAATAAGTAGCCGGTAGAGGCATTTCTAACAGAACATTTTTTTAACTATGGCTTGAAATTTTTAAGTGACATAGTCCATAAATAAAATAAGGAGAAGCCAGCTAGGTCAGAAAGAATAGCTGTTGAATCGTAAAATAAATTGTTGTTCCTTCCTTTTTTCTAGGCTATTTGTGTAAGTCATCCTTCTGCTCGTTTTGTATACTGTTGCTGTCAAAATTTGTAAATGTCAAGCTGTCAGAATGTCATAATTTTACCTACAATTTCAAATTAAAAAATTAAACCGTTTTTGTACTGTGGTGTCTTTTTCAAATTGGTGAAGTAAACATTTTAAAACTTAACCAAATTGAAATCAATCATGACCGAATTCCAAACGCCACAAAAGTCTATCAAACCTTTCGACAACGATAAAATAACTATACCACCTTCACCGTTTTTAAATAAACTTGGTTATGGTACTGGTACGTAAACAATAAAACTTCAATAATTAATAATAGATTTACCTAGAATACTGTAAACTTCATTTTGTGTTTTAGGGGTGTCCGTTCTGCAATTAGTGAGGTCCCCGAGGGCAGGACTTATCCGATCACCGTGGGCTCTCAAAATGTTGAACAAACGAGTTAAACCAAATAAAGTATACACAGATCGACTGAAAACTGAGGCGGAACTGTTACAAAAAATGTCCCACCTTAACATAGTGGGTTTTAGGGCATTTAGTAAAGGCAAGATTCTATACTTGGGCATGGAAGCTTGTGATTTATCCTTGGGGGACTTGATCGAAAAAAGAGTAGATGATGATTGTACGCCCTTTTCACCAAGACAAATGTTGCAGGTAAATATTTAAAATTATTTAATCTACAGTCAAAGTTGTCTATTTTTGATATTAAGAATGTTATTGTATTATTTAAAAGTTCACAGTAATTTCATTATCCATGAGCTAAAAAGGTATTAGCAATGCTGCAATAGAATGATTTATATTTCAGAACTATTTTTCAGACCAGAAACTTAACAAAAATTAAATTAAAATTATATATTATAATGAGCAAAATTATAATTTGTGTAATTACTAATGGTAGGACCACAAGTGAGTCTGCACGGGTAGGTACCACCACCCCGCCTATTTCTGCCATAAAGCACTAAGTAATGCATTTCGGTTTGAAAGGTGGGGCAGCCATTGTAACTATACTGAGACCTTGAACTCATATCTCAAGGTGGCATTTATGTTGTAGACATATATGGGCTCTGGTAACCACTTAACACCAGGTGGGCTGTGAGCTCGTCCACCCAAATAAGCAATTAAAAAAATTATGTTCCAATCCCTTTATACAACTTATTGACTCTCAGCTTCCAAAATGGTCTGCAGTATACTTCTGTAGATTGTAAGATGACCAGTTACCTTGTTTTTACTTTTAATTATGTTTAGTCTCATTGGACCTTAATTTTAGGTGGCTGTAGACATCTCCAGTGCACTTGAATACCTTCATACAAAGATGCAAATTTTACATGGAGACATGAAATCTTACAACATATTAGTCAACGGTGATTTTGTGATATGTAAACTTTGTGACTTTGGAGTGACACTTCCTCTCGACGAAAATGGAATATTTGATAAGGAAAATGCTGGTGGAACTGTTTATTATGGTAATTTCTTTGACTAAATTATGTAGGTACCTATATAAGTTTTGTCTACAAGACAAACATTTTTTCAGTTCAGTAAAGATTCTACAAATTATTAAAATAAATTAGCGTAATTGAAAATCTACTTGATTTTGAATATAGAAGTAATACAATGTTTTGTTGATAACAAATAAATGTGTGACTAACAAAACACTATAAAACTCAGGTACAGAAGCATGGAGCGCACCTGAAGTAATTCACGGAGGGCAGATCAGTGACAGAACTGACATCTGGCCATTTGGTCTCACTCTGTGGGAGATGATGGCACTAATGCCACCTCACTCACAAATTGATGAGGACACCTTTGATATGAGCCTGGATGATCTTGACGAGAGTGGTTATGATTTCTCCGATCGATATGGTAAGCATACAAATGAATGTGCTAAAGTTAGATTGCTCTGAGTTTGATGTAAGGTTGTCCTTAAAATATTTATTTCAATTTTTGTTTCTCATAATGATAATAAGTTAGTTGGATGATATATAGAAATAATTCGACCAATACAATGGCCAATATTTTAAATTATAAATTAGAATAAATACTGAATCAATTTTTGGAAAATCTATTTTATTTTCAAATTATTTTCTTTTCTTCTACTTATTTTAAATTGATTTCAACACAATTTTTTTCTTATTATTTGTATACCATTCTCTACAGAAATAATTTCCCAATTAAAGATAATATAAAGACTTCTAAAAGAAGAAAATCATAATGTTTACTATTTTGATAATAAATTTGAATTACAGGCAGTCGTCCAGACGTCCCCGCCAACATATCGGAAGTAGAATACGCACAGCCGTTAACCCTGTTCTGCAGCTGTACTGAGAGCCGGCCGGCCGACCGCCCCCAGGCCGCGCAGCTCACGGCGGCCGCCCGGGCCATGGCGGCGGCATTACTTCATAACACATCATGTTAATAGGTTTCTATAAGGAATTCACATTATCTTACCTGCTACATCTAACATGTAATTTAGAAATTTTGTGTATTTGAACTCATGGCGGCCTAAAGACAATAGGCATGATATCTCCACATAGTCTTTCAATGTGAAGACGGAACCACTCCATACTGACAGACCAGGGATAATTCATCCAAAAATAGAAAATAACATTTCATTACAACTATGGAATATAAATGATATATACTTTGTGTATATTGTGTGCTCTCTGAACGCTCGTCAATTGGACAGTGTGGACGTATATAATTGCCAGCCAAATCGTGTTTCACATAATATGTTACTTGGCATTTGTCGTTTGGTTTTCAAGTGCCCCCCTGTCGTCCGCCTGGGTAAATACATATTTTTATTAACTTCAATTTATATTATGTTCGAGAGCATTTACTTAAAATTGACAATGATTTATTTTTTAATAAGTATCTGATGGGACCAATAAAGTTTATTTCAAACGTAAATTTAACGTCGCCAGAGTTACATCGGTGCTCCGGTGGGCTCCCGGCCGACGGAGGCGCCCGCACAGCCTGCTTGTATTATTTGTAAAATAAATGTTATTTTAAGATACAATAAAACTATTTTATGTTCGAAAAGTATTTTATTCGTCAATAACAACAATTAACAAATACTTAATTACCGAACAGTATCCCTCGTATATTTAACCTTCAATAAATATAAACACTTTCACAATTCTTCGAATTAAACAGAATATAGTAACCTCAAATTAGTGTCTTTTATAAAAAAAATGTGGAAAATCTATTAGTTTATGTTCAGTGTTGTACTAATCAAATAAATTTAGACTGACCTTTCAACTAGAAAGCAGCCTCTGACAAAGTAAATAAATACATTGAAGTAGATGCCGTTACAGTAAAGAGCGTTTACAAAATACTGAATATATCTAATTGTCGACGCCTAACACCTCTCAGAACACAATTTATTATTTCCTTTCCATTAAATAATTTTACCACATAAAGTCCTCATGAAAATAGTTTTTTACTTTACACTTTATGATTCTTGTGATTGTATGAAAATATACATCTACAGGCTAAAATGGTTAGGAATTCTTAATTCATTTAGAATTCAATTGAATAAAATTATTTGTGTACGTACTTACGTATAAAACAGTGCCTTGCTTCAAGCTCAGTAGCAATTGATCTTTCATTTTGAGCATTAATAAAAACTAGGCTAATATTTTATTATCATTACACCAACATTATCAATAGTGCAGGTTCAATAATGATGAATGATGAAGGGATGGTTCACTTTGGAGATTTCTTATCTACGATATAAATTTTGAACAAACATCATTTAAATGTTTTACAATAAACATTAAATGAAGTATTCTAATTAAAAAACATCATGATAATAATGTCTAAAAGACAAACAAGCTAATTTTAATTACAAAATTTGGAAATTTTAACATTTTTTTCAATTGTAAATAAGTCAGCCCTTTTTCAGTTGCTTTACTATTGTTTAAGTTTCATTTCATACTCATTTGAAAATTGTACTTGGAAATCTACTTAATATCAATATACCTAAGTTAACATGGTGATTTAACCAGTGTTTATATGTTAAGTAAATTATTGATGTTGTTAATATAATGTAAAAACACAATTTAATCGTAAATAGAGTTGACTAGTTTAAATTTCATAAATAATTTTAATTTTTGCGTGTATTAATACAATGTCTATAAATAAGCAAGATTTGTTAAGTATCAAGCACAAAGATTTTTTTACATTGGAAACAATATGTACACTGGCGAGATTAATCAATAATGAGTGTTTATGTATCAATACATTCAAAAACAAACAAAAAATAAAAGAACCTTAAAACTACACAGCACCAAGTTTAGAAAGCATGTTCTAATGAGTTTTCTTAATAATAAATAAATGTAAAATGATAAAAACGCCTACTAAAACCGAAGTAAAAACATAGATCTAATATGAGATTTCACGGTTAAAACTTAACTACCTGTAATTATTGAATTATTCTTACAACGTAACTCAAAAACGGTAAAACAAGAGTTACACCATTTATATTCCATGGGACACTGATTTCGTAAACGCTGGGCAATTTTAATTATTCACTTCTGCTATTTAAGCAATTGCTGGTTACTAAACAAGTTGCATAAAAATAGTTTGATTTCTATAAAGTAACTTAATATGTAGGTATCATTCTTAATTCAAATTTAGATTCTGACAATTGGATATAAGATCGCCTTAATTTGAAGTTTGAACCAGGGTGGCCAACCGTAAAGTTTACTCTTATTTTTTGAATATTAGCTTAGTAGTGAGACCTTTAAGCCAAATCTTATAATACGAAATATAGTCTGTCTTAGTAAAATGGGGGCTATTTATTTCCAGTGGCTTTTTTGAAAGAACCCGAAAGGCTACGCAATGGCTTGACATAGGGGTAGAAATAATCATTAAAATAAGATTTACTATAAATATGTTTGATAGTAAAATTACTTCGTCACTTTAATTATCATTTTCAGTTCTAAGAAAGTGTGGGGGCAAAGTGAATTCGAGTTTACGACACGAGAATGCGCAAGTCTAGTTAGTACGCCTGATGTGCTTATACGGTAAAAACTTGTATAATCTGTAATATACCTGTATCAAAAATATGTACAAAAAATTCCAGGTCAGATTTTCGTACATAATTGCGTTATCAAACACTATATTCTGTTTGTACGAGAAATCTCATACGATTGGCCACTCTGTTAGAATCGACGGAGATTTACCCTTCGTTAGCGGCAAGTCGCGCGGCTGGCTCCAGTACTGGCACGAGCAAGTGTAAGATAGCGCGCCGAGCGCCAAGTGACATTAGGACGTAAAGTAATTCGGCTTCGACTATTGTTCTGTGGAGTAGGTCGTGTCGTCCCGCTGGTCGAGCGCGCGCAGGTAGGCCACCACGCGCGGGCGCCGCGCCGCCGCCGCCGCCTGCAGCGCCGTGTGCCCCGCCGCGTTGCGCAGCGAGCGGTCCGCCGCCGGCGCCAGCACACGCACGCACGACAGCGCGCCGAACATGGCCGCGCCGTGCAGCGCTGACTGCCCGTTCTGTCGCACGCGGGGACATGAGCAGGTGGTCGGCGGCGCCACACAAGCAGCAATGTATAGATATATACTCACGGGTAGCAGGCCCAGCTCGGGGTTGTACTTGAGCAGCTCGGCGACCACGGCGGCGTGACCCTTGTGCGCAGCCTTGAACAGCGGCGTCGCGCCGTCCTGCGAGCACAGGGCCAGTTCAGTGTACTGAGGAGTCGAGCGGGGCGGTCAATTCAAAAAATTCATTCGATAAACGATTGGATTAAGTTTTTGAGTAAATTACTTTGGAAGTGTATAAAGTATATAAATTTATTTTACCTAATTTACGTACAATTTCACCGCGATTCAGATTCAGCGAAATACTGCTGTTACTAGGACCAGTGTTAGCAAATTGTGCTCACCTACCAGTTCGGTGAAACCACGACCTACGCGACGCACGCGGCGGGCGGCGCGACGTACCTGCCTGAGCTGGTCCACGTGCGCGCCGGCCCGCAGCAGCGTGCGCGCGACGCGGTGGTGCCCGGCCGGCGCGACATGACCCCCCGACCCGCACGCGGCGGGCGGCGCGACGTACCTGCCTGAGCTGGTCCACGTGCGCGCCGGCCCGCAGCAGCGTGCGCGCGACGCGGTGGTGCCCGGCCGGCGCGACATGACCCCCCGACCCGCACGCGGCGGGCGGCGCGACGTACCTGCCTGAGCTGGTCCACGTGCGCGCCGGCCCGCAGCAGCGTGCGCGCGACGCGGTGGTGCCCGGCCGGCGCGACATGACCCCCCGACCCGCACGCGGCGGGCGGCGCGACGTACCTGCCTGAGCTGGTCCACGTGCGCGCCGGCCCGCAGCAGCGTGCGCGCGACGCGGTGGTGCCCGGCCGGCGCGACATGACCCCCCGACCCGCACGCGGCGGGCGGCGCGACGTACCTGCCTGAGCTGGTCCACGTGCGCGCCGGCCCGCAGCAGCGTGCGCGCGACGCGGTGGTGCCCGGCCGGCGCGACATGACCCCCCGACCCGCACGCGGCGGGCGGCGCGACGTACCTGCCTGAGCTGGTCCACGTGCGCGCCGGCCCGCAGCAGCGTGCGCGCGACGCGGTGGTGCCCGGCCGGCGCGACATGACCCCCCGACCCGCACGCGGCGGGCGGCGCGACGTACCTGCCTGAGCTGGTCCACGTGCGCGCCGGCCCGCAGCAGCGTGCGCGCGACGCGGTGGTGCCCGGCCGGCGCGACATGACCCCCCGACCCGCACGCGGCGGGCGGCGCGACGTACCTGCCTGAGCTGGTCCACGTGCGCGCCGGCCCGCNCGGTGGTGCCCGCACTGCGCGGCGATCCACAGCGGCGAGGCGCGGTCGCAGCGCGCGGCGGTGAGGTCGGCGCCGCCGCGCACGAGTGCGGCGCACACGTCGTCGTGTCCGTTCTGCGCGGCGATGAACAGCGGCGTCGCTTTGTCCTGCGCACAGCCACAAATAAAAAAAAACGTGTGGCACTCGGGAACTGGCGCGGTAAAGCTATTGCATAGCATTTTTTATCAACTTATGCAATTATAATTATACAATGATAATTTAATATTAAAACAATAATAACACAAGACCACGCTATATTAAACATTAATAAAAGCAAAACATTAACTGTCCCCTTCACACTCATAAGCTAGACCGCGCAAGAGAGAGTTGGACAGGCTTTTCATGATACGCATGCAGTGTGACGTCACACCACGCGCTTATTCACATACACTACACAAGCGCAACGTGTGAATGTGTTGAACGCGAGCTACATGGTAGGCGTAGTGGGGTGTCAGGTTATTTTCGTTACGAAATTTCTTGATTCAGTCGCCGCGCTCAAAGCCCGCGATAAAATCTATGCAATAGCTTAAAAACTACTGTTGCTATGGAAATAAATACATTAGACGACCCGAGTCTCAATAGCTGGTAGCAGCTTATTTGATTAGATTTTTTAAGACCAGATGTCGGTTTAGCTTTATCCTTTAAAGGAGATGAAAGTAGGATCTCCTTTAAACGCCAGCAGTCGGTTGGTCAGTAGGTGACTCAACCGTGTATTCTACACAACAGTTACAGAGAGCGCCTCGTGCCGGCGCGTACCTTCATGCAGGAGTTGACGTTGGCCCCGCGGCTGATGAGCTCGTCGACGACGGGCAGGTGTCCGCACTGGCACGCCACGAACAGCGGGGTGCCGCCGTCCTGCGACACACAACACACTCTCTTATTTTGTTTGAGTTCCTAGTTACGTTTACAGGGAACGATTTCTGTGGCTTTGTTCAGAGGTTCTTAAGAGTTGGGTTCGTTGATGTAGAGATATGACGCGCGTGCCGTCGCTTTGATTTCAGTAACTCGCTGCGTGTACAGTGTGCTTAGTGCGAGTTTTTTAACGTTCTCGATAGCGTAAAAGTTAGCTCATATTTGTATGGAATGGGATCGTTTGCCTACGTTTGCCGTTAGGGGCGCTGTTCCAACTGCTTACAAAATTGGGCTAACTCTTACGTTATCGAGAACGTTAAACAACTCGCACTAAGGACACTATTATATCTCGGTTAGAACATCATTTATGGTTTCATTACAGTTCAGTGAGTTTATGTGAGCGAAGAAGCTGTACAAGACGCATAGACAGGCGTCGAAAATCATTAATAAATTTTTTCCAACAACGAATAAAAACAACAACTAGACACAAAATTAGAAAACACAAAACTGTTTACAATCATACACTTTGAAAAGTCTAGAAGAGTTAATAATGAAACCTAGTGGCAGGCTGTATTTAAAGCCGGCGCGGGTAGATACCGCCGCGCTGCCCGTTTTTGCCACAAAGAGTCATGCGTTTCGATTTCAAGGATGGGATAGCGTTTATACTATACACTGAGGTGGAGGGGGGGTCACGCACCGAGCTGGGCGCGTCGATGGCGGCGCCGGCGTCCAGCAGCAGACGCGCGATGTCGAGGAAGCCTCCCTGCGCCGCGAAGAACAGGGCGCTCGTTCCTGTCTGACAGCCACAGCGCGGTGTTACTGTCGCATTGTATAATGTACTCCCGGCGGGGCTATAGCTCTGGCGCCCACCATTGCCTACCATTGCTCATACACGTTAGTAGCGTCAGAGGCACAGCCAAGTCGCTGCCTACCTTAAAGTCTCTACGTATCGTTTCTAAATTTAAATCGTCGTGACGGTCGACATTCCTCGCGAGCCACGGTGCCCCGACGGCTATTCTGCAGAAGCGGGGTTGGATGACCTGGAGAGGGTATGCATGCAGGCCGCATGAGCGAACACTACACTACTACTACACAAGTTTTGTAGTGTCACATTTTTATTTTTATTTTAAGGGATTATGACCTGGTAACTAAGACCTTTAGGTCAAGTCTTATTTTAATTTATATTCTTATTTTTATTAAAATAATAATATGGAGTGAAATGAAATGAAATGAAGATGATTAATTTGAGACATAAATCAACCGCGATGAAACTAAATGAAATGAGACGAAATGATATGGAATGAAATATTGTCTCAGTAAAATGGTGGTCATATACTGAAACGTTTTCAGTGGACTTCTTGAAGGATCCCGAGAAGCTACGTCCAGCGGTTTTGTTTAATTATCCCACATTTGTGCACTTTCACAGATATTAAACAGTTAAAACCACCGTTATTACACATTTAAACCCGAAGAAACACTAAATAGACAAAATAACACAAATCACATGTACTTTTAGGTTAGGAATATTGTGTTCTTTTTTTTTATAATTTAATAAAGATTATTTAATCACACAACTTCACTCCTCGCGTTTCCACCAAACAACTGTCATCATGTTACGAAGGAACAATTTACTTCGCTTGCAGATCATAGGGTAGAACGGATGCCATCTGTGCGTTGTGTGTGTGCTAGTCAATTTACGCAAAAAATAAGTTTTAGACTTGTCCGAAAATGTATCTAGCGTGAAACGTATTTAGCAATGATATGTATGCTTATAACATAAACTACAACCTTCATTGTTTTTTTTTTTCGAAATTGTAATTGTGCATTTAAGATTTTGGTGTTACCGTCCTGCAGCAGGCTGGGTCGGCTCCCTGCGCCAGCAGCTCCCTGACGCAGTCCGTGTGCCCCATGGCTGCGGCCAGTATGAGGGGCGTGGTACCGTCCTGGAATTTTAATCATCAATTTATTATTAGTATAGTAACGCACAAGTGGTTTAATTTTCCCGCTCAGCTTGACGTTTAATCCTAAAAATTTCGTAAATATACATAATATAATGACATGGAATATTCTAAAAGTGGTTAAACAAACTTAATAAAAGACTTAATTGCGTTTTCTGTACAATATTAAGAAAACAACATTTAAAGCCTTTATTTTCCACAAATTATTTTACATAGAATTCTTGAGTAGTAGTTGTTCCAGTTTTCCAACTGGAAAGGCGAAAGTATCGTTCCATACAGCCTAATCTTTTATATGACCTTTTTTTATATAAAAAATTATATTATGAAATGAAATGAAGTTTATTAATATGAAACATGGTATGAAATGAAATGAGATAAGATGATATGAGATGAAATATAATCTCAGTAAAATGGCTATACCGAGACTGTTTCCGTGGAGTTTTTGGAGGATTCCGAGAAGTTACGTTCAGCGGCTTAGTTTCATTTTCCCACATCTGTGCTCTTTCACAGATACTAATCAGTTAATAAACCACCGTTATGACACATTTAAGCCTGAAGAAACACTGAATAGACAAAATAAAACAAATCACACAACTTCACTCCTCGCGTTCCCGCCAAAAAGTCTAGTATTCTTGAATTAAATAAAACTGAACTCGTTTTTTTTTTCAATGACAGAAAGTTCAGTCAATCTATATAATAAAAAAACATTTTTTTTTTAAACTAAAATGGTATTATATAAAAATTACATAAAAAGGTTTTTCTTTACATACAAATAAGGTGTTTATTACGATAACTAGCTGTGAGGGACCAGCTGAACGAAATCCCACATGACAGACGTCAACCACAGAGTCAATGATAGCACATGTTGGGGACGTACGATCCGCTCCATATTATTTATTTTATTGCTTAATTTCATAAGGAAAAGTAAGTTATTTAACAAATATAAAATTTAAAACTATAACACACAAAACTCCTTAAGTTTGTTTCGTTGGTTCTTCTACGTTTCTTCTTGGAACCGATTGTAACTTTAATATTTTTATTTTCAATAAGCGTATTATAACGTTAGCGTATTTTAAGTTACTAGTGGTCCCTCAGTAGTCGAAATTCGACTATAAAGATAAACAATATTAACCTATTTTCAATTTGACCACAGACTTAAAGCATTAACTAAAGTTTGACAATCAACAGGAGGAGGCCTTTCCATCAACAAATTGTATAAAACATTATGTGTTGTGTCAAATACATGGCAGCGTGTGTAATGTTTTCTTTATTGATTTAATGTATCTTTTATGCATTATTTTTAAAAAATATTAACATTCTGCACTCTTTCTCTATATTCTCTATAAGTGTGGGAAATTTTATACTCCTCCGTCCGCGCAATTTTCATAAAAAGGGGTACAAAGTTTTTGCTTCACGTATTAATATATAGAGTAGTTATCGATCTATTTAATTGCACAATAAATTTTACGAAACTAATACAGTTAAATTTTTATTTCAAGTCCATCTTTTCCACGTTAATAGCGCAAAGTTGACCAGGGCGTCATTAAAATTTGTTGCCCTCTGAAACTGGGGCGCCCCGGGCTCAAAGGAGTTTATGAAGACTATTCCTGTACGGAGTTTGAAGTACGCTTTTGATGCAAAAACGTTTGCACAACGTGAATAACATCAAAAGGTTTTCGGCGCAAAAAGAACCCGAGGCTTTATACTATTTTAATTCGCGTATTAATACTAAAATAGTGTTCAGGCGCCTTTCAGACTTATTAAGAAATGGATTGAAGAGAACAAGCGCCTGTCGAATTGCTGTCGGGGCGCTGGTCACTCACTTCCAAAGTCCACCTCACAGTAATGACCCACTGAAATCAGTTACGTGCATCTCTGGACATCGATTATGTCTCGAGCCCTATGGTTCCGGAATGAACTCCTCTTTCTTCAATGGAAACGTGACGAACCCTCGTTTACCAGGCGGCCCTGCTACCAACGCCCCAACGTCTGGCTGTACTCCTGGATTTCTGCTGTCCACGTCGATAACTACTTACAATCAGTTCAGAGATGTATTAAGCACACACACAAGGAACACACTAGAACGCCACGATTCAATGTTCATTTACAGTTTACAAAGTATATTTTTAACGCTTGTACACTAAACATTGACGAATGATGTTTATCGAAAATAATTACAATCGTGCTGTCTCTTTTCATCAAGTTAAATTGAACTGGGTTGTGTTGGTGATGCAAGATTTCATTGGCTGACGCTCGAAAAGGGGCAATTAATTTAAGTGTCAGTGGCACTAAACAAAGGCAGCCTTGAGCATTTGTGAACACTACGATCTAAAATTTGACATAATATGAAAAACAAGTTGTAGATATCTAGCCTATAAACCAGTCTAATCTAACATGAATGTTCATTCCGCGCGGTTGGTACCTTATTCACTTAATTGTTAGTCACATAATACCACATAAAGGAATGGGTGACGATTCAGACTGGTTGCCTAGCAGTACAAACATGTAGCACGTCAGTAGATATCAGATAACAACTTTGTCTAGTTATTAACCTGGAACGAATGTGAACCCAGCCTACATTATCTATTAGAACTTCTCCATCTGTCCATAGCAGCAGTATTCTTATCTTATTTCCTAACCAACTTTCCTACTCTTCTCTCTAACTTTTATCTCGAGTACTTTCGTACTGTCGGCCTTGTAGAGCTATTTGTAAAATAATGGATAGTAAAATTACATAGCTGTTTGTAAAATCAGTTTATAGTACCTTTATCCGTCAAACACCTGGCCTGTATATCTACGGGAGGAAAAAACAACAATATAACTCCATAAGCTTTCATCGTTTAAAGTAATCAATAACTACTCTCAAAACGTAATCAATAAAATATATTTCCCCACATTAGAGACACGAGTGTGCTTATTGCGAGTTTTTTAACTTCTCGATCGCGTAAAAGTTAACTCAAATTTGTATGGAGTTGGAACAGCATCTCTAGCGGCAAACGAAGGGAAGCACACAGAGTGTAGCACCGGAGTCGCTCATCAGTCCATTAAATCGTCGGAAAACGAAGCGAAACAACGAATCTTCACTAATAAAATAAACATATCTAAAAGCGTCCAGAGAAAGGTATACACAGTTAATTCTGGTTACAACAATATTTACTTAACTTAAATAAATTCCACAGATTCTCTGTCCGTTTCTACAGTCAAACTCAATTGGGCATCTTTCTATTCTAGATAATCTTAGAATAGTGACGAATGAGACCCCTTATTCTGATGAGTATCATTGAGTGTAAAATAAAAGCTAAACGTTAGGACGACCATTTAAAAACTGGTGGTTTTTACTGGTGGTAGGACCTCTTGTAAGTCCGCACGGGTAGGTACCACCACCCTGTCTATTTCTGCCGTGAAGCAGTAATGCGTTTTGGTTTGAAGGGTGGGGCAGCCGTGTGACTATACTGAGACCTTAGAACTTATATCTCACGGTGGTCGGCGGCATTTACGTTGCGATGTCTATGGGCTTCAGTAAACACTTAGCACCAGGTGGGCTGTGAGCTCGTCCAACCACCTAAGCAATAACAAAAAAAAACTTCGTAGCTAGTGTTAATTCAGGAAATTTGAGAAATTCGCAGAACTTACTAATTACACTTGACATTGTAACGTATTCAACAAATCCTGTTCAATCATCGATCGACCCGATGTAGGACAAGGACGCGCCCTTACTGGGGATGACACGTTTCCGGGAAAATGGGCTCGCTGCAGCGAATAATCCCGTGGAATATAACTTACTGTCTATCGGATTTATCGGGATTGGTTTTCATTTACATTTTGGATATTTCTAAATATCTGAAGATTTTATTGGTAATTGAAAATGTTGGTTCTGTAGAAAACTTATTGTTCAACATATTTTCTATAAAGTAATTCGTAATAAATAAACTTTCATTTTATTGCCAGAGAGGAACATTTCAATTATAAAAAAAAACAACAATAGTTTTGTTAATTCATCACGACTTATTTTTAATGAATACATCTACCTTAAAGAAACGGCGTGTTTTAGTGTGTTTGGTAAACTAAAACACATTTCTGAGAAAACGTATGAGAATGTTAACCGTATCGCTTACTCAAACAGTACTTAACAAAAAATCGAAACAAATCCAGATTCCGACCAAGTGAAGAAGGAATCTAACTTTTTTTAAAGCTGTCATTCTGAACAAGACATTATCGTTTTTTTTTGTGATTGAAGGATTACTGGTGGCCCGGAGGCCTTTCCAGTTTCATCAGGACAGGTGGGCGAGCAAAGGCTCAGCCAGGAGGGGTGGGATTTGCTAGCAGCTGCCCGAGCGCCTCCGAAGGAGACCTTAGAGCTCAAGAGCAACTACTTTGCGAATGAATTTACTACGGGATCGGAATCGCAACCCGCTGAGAAGATCCGGCGAGAAACTCAGCGGGGAGACATTATCGTGTGACGGTATACATACATAGAAACGCAACATCTCCAGCAGAGCCCTCTCACGGCGCAACGATAATTCTGTAGCACTTAACAAACTGCATTAGCACATATTACACAGTTACAACAGCCGGATAACACCTCGCCATTAATTCGTTACATAACATAACGAGTGCCGCATCAAACGATAAATCATAGAGTAACCGCAGTTTGGATTCATGATCTTCGATGGCTTAAAGCATAAGCGATAACGAGTGGACATGATTTCCCATTGTCGTCACACGAAATCATAACGTGCGTGGCACTGGTGACATTTATCTCTTTTCAGTATCTATTTGAATCCTAACATAATGCTGGCAGTATATTTAACTACAGCAAAACTAAAAATATTATTGAATAAGTTGCGTTTTTTTTCTTCTTTTGTTGAAGGTTTATTAATCCGATTCATAACTGGGGTTTCATTACGTGTACAATTTATAGCAATGACTATTATAGTATAGTAAACTTATCATGTCTGGATAGCAATCGGAACAAGTTAAGAACGTATAATTTAATTTAATTAAGCTATGGACAACTGTTAACGTGATACCTACATTAAAGGATCGTCCAAATCAATAGTTGAGTGTGAAGATTTTAAACGCATCCACTTTTATATTGCGCCTAAGCTTTAATGCACGTAGGAGTAAAGTATAAATAATACAAGAAATTCAGGCCACGCGATTTATTTTGGTCGCAATAAATTTTCGAATATTTCCTTTTGCTTTCGTTTCTGCACGAAGGGCATTATGGACGTTCTTATCTATTTAGTAAATCAGTGGCCAAGCTCACGGCCCGCCAGGTGTAAAGTGGTTACCAAAGCCTATAGACAACACAAAGCGATCGCCGCCAATCTCCTTGAGATGTGAGGTTTTAGTCTCAAGCCACTTAGTTTTGTATTTTATAAATGCTGTCGCAGCAGAAATAGGAAGAGTGGTGGCATTTCATGAACCAGGCAATAAACAACTCAAGGTATATCGGCACATAGTGCATAATGACACGACATATACCTAATCGTATTTATCAATATAACAACATTATTATCGATGCGCGAGAAAATCTGCGACCTAGAGATATTTCAACAACTTTTAGCCAAGTTTATCATGCATGTTTTTCTATCAAAAGGTCATTGGGGGCGCCTTATAGCGCATTATTTTTAGATTTTATGAAAACTATACATTATCCATTACTATTTCATGTATTTTAAACTAATTTTTTTTCCTAACAGAGATAGTAACCTCGAGGGGTTATTCTAGCTTCACCGAACATGCTCGCGGGGCTCAGACTGGTGACTTTGCTAACACTAACCCTTGCAAGACCAGTGCGTCGCTGAATCTACCACCGGATCTAAATCGCGACTCACTGAGAAGATTCGACGAGAAACTCAGTGAGTTCACGACGAGTTTTCGTCGCATTCCACGGGTCCGACGAGAACAGTGACCGGTGCTTGGAGTGCCTAAAATCATCGATCCTTGATCTTGAGTGATCACCATCATTTATAAACATCGGCAGTGCTAAAGGCTCAATTAAAATACAATCTATAAAATTCCCAAGTTTCGCTTTGCGACATCACTTACACGAGCTAAGGATAAGGATAAAGTCTAATATTTCCTAGCTGCTTCTTATTTTACGCTAATACGTTTCCCGATCCTGCAGACAGAATGGAAAACAGTCGACGTCGCCCCAAGCGCGTCATTTCGGATCCTCCTGATCCACTAACGGTGCTTTTAGGTACCGCAAGCACCGGTCACCGTTTTCGTCGAACCCGTCGCTTACGACGAAGGGCTCGACGAGTAAATTAACCCTCGGACACATCCCACTGAGTTTCTCGCCGGATCTTCTCAGCGGGTCGCGTTTCCGATCCGGTGGTAAATAAAAAAAAAAGCTAATACGAAAAATATACACACCCTATCTCTGGAGTCAATGTGAACTTTCCCTGTATCCAGGAGTTGTCGCAGTCGGTCGCAGTCCCCCCTCAGCGCTGCGAGGTGGAACTGCACGTCGGTGCGGGATTCCTTCTGCAATAGCAAAAAGAACATTATCATTCAAGGATTTTTTTTATTTATTGCTTAGATGGATGGACAAGTTCACAGCCTGGTGTTAAGTAGTTACTGGAGCCCATAGACATCTACAACGTAAATGCGCCACCCACCTTGAGATATAGGTAAATTCTAAGGAGTTACAATGGCAGTTTTTATTACACGATGTTATTCCTTCATCGTGGAAGTCAATCGTGAACATTTGTTGAGTACGTATTTCATTAGAAAAATTGGTATCCGCCTGGGATTCGAACACCGGTGCATCGCTTCAACACGAATGCACCGGATGTCTTATCCTTTAGGCCACGACGACTTCAGTTTAATATTTACTTTTGCATAGATCCAGAGATCTTTTTTGTTTCCATGTCCCAGAAGGGCATTACTAGAAATAATATTTAAAAAAATTGTCAACCTAAAGACTGTTATTAATATGGAGTTTAATAATGTGTTCATTAGTGTTTCCCATCAAAAAGAAAAGCTGTTGCTCATCAGATCAACAGTCCGAATATTCTTCGGAGCTCGTGTTTATGCAAGTTTGTATGAAATTGTCTATAGCACACTTTAGGTTATATGTTTTTATGTGTTTTCTTAATGATTTCTTCTTCTATTCGTCTATACACTATCACACAGAACGGGAAATTATAATTTAAATAAAAATCTAATATTTCTTTGTTATTATTTAATAAGTTAATAACTTCTTAGTTGCAAAAATTATGCTCCCACACTGTAAACTAAGCCGAAAATGTAACATCGCAAAAAAAATAAAGTGTTATTTATCTCTGATCTAATTATAATATGTATACCTAATGCTCGTATAATCGCTAGGTCGTCGGGTGCTTTCGTTAAACAATAGTATTATGTAAGTAAGAACGAAGTCTGTGAACGAACACCATTCGCTCAAATAATTTGCTATGAACAAAAAACTATATAGTCATTTTGTATTAATATCACATAACGGTAATGTACAAAATAAATCGCTAAATTAGGATAGGAGGTTGCATGTGGCATTAATTATCGCATACATCAATCACTGCACGCGTTATTGTCATCGTAGTTGAATGATCAATATAATTTAATGAAACAAGGTCAAGTTTACAATCATTACTACATCGCAGTTCTTGTAGCTTAGAAGACTGTCTATTTTCCGTGTTAGGTCGAGCGAGGTCGTGTAGGAGCAGCGAGGACGAGGGATTAACCAAGGCTTAACCGTGGACTGCCATGAGAACAAACGAGTCCATTCTAAAGCAGCTAAACATCCGAAAAAGGCTCTCTTCCATCTGCCGGGAACGTGTTATGAGCTTCTTCGGACACATCATGCGGTCTCCCAGACATGAATTAGAGGAGCTCATAATTACGGGTCGCATACAGGGCAAGCGCGCCGTGGGCAGAACACCAGCCAGATGGTCAGATCTAGTAAGAGAAGCACTTGGTGGTAGTCTGTACCATGCGGTCCATGCCACCCATGATCGACCACAGTGGAAGAACGTCACATTTGGCCGCGATCCTCAGTAGTAAAGAAACGATAGAAGAGAGAGCCGAAGTTTGCGAGCCTCTCGAACATTATGTCCAGTTCCTCACAGTACACATTCGCAGCAAGGCTGATGAAAATTGGTAAGAAGCTGCGATGAATTGTACCGGCTCTAGACCACCAAACAGAGACTTTAACTTTTCTAGGGGCCCTTTTTCGTTTGGAGGATTGTCTAAATACTAAACCAGGGTTTAACCAACATGATGATCACTTACAATTATCAAAAATAATCCACTTTTCATCGCAAGTGACAATGGGGTTCAAAATCCCTTCCGTTCTGTGTCTGTTACACAAAGCAAGACACCTTAAAGCGTTCGTCACGCTGGCGATCGTTCTGTGCATGCACACCAACTTATCAAGTTTTTTTTGCCTTGCCAATTTGATATAAATGTGCCAATATTGTTTTGAAGTTTGCTTTATGAGCTGCTGCTAGCTCAGAGATAGTTTGAGTATCGTCAACTTCCACTATCCCCTTTAATTCATCGTTGTTGACTTTAGTTTTGGGGCGACCAGGAGGTTCATTCTTTTGGTCAACATTTCCATGTCGGAAGCGTTCAAACAAATAAAAAATTGTGCGTTCGTTTGTAGTGTTCACTCTATGCATGTTATTAATGTTGCGAGATGTTTGTGCGACATTACTACCGCGACGGAACTCGTATTCCAATATTTACTCTTATTTTTATCGTGTTCTTGTCCATATTGATGAAAAAGATACGGATGTAGTAAAAACAAAACACGAATGAATAAAAAATAACTGAAATTGAAAATAGAATTTCATATATTAAAAAAAAAATCATTTGAATTTAGAAATTACTGAAAGCCATACATATATGACGTTTCGAATAGCCAGTATTGTAAAACGACAACTTCATGGTTTACTTACTATTACTTTTACTTACTATTATTTTATATTCATGATCGTATTCAAGAAAACGTCATACATTGACACCCAAATTAATTTATAATTTTTTACACGCAAGGCAATTTTTTTATCAAAATTTAGAAGAACAATCTAGTTTTTGTACACGAACGTAATGAGTCTGAATCGGTAATCGGTTCGCAAGACGGATTTAATAACATCACAAGCTTCGATCAATAATACTACTAGATTCGCGATTAGCGCTTCAAAAGCGGCCCGAAAAATAAGACCACAAATAAATTTGTGGTCTTATTTCAAATTAGTATGGTCCAATCATAGCCAACACTAAGACGTCAAAACGCTGCAATGCGCGTTCAAAAACTGAGTAAAAAACCACCGTAACACCAAGGTTTTGGAAGGAATATCTTTTTGTGGTAAATTTATATTATTAAGTGTTTTTCATAAAATAATAAACACAATTATATTGTAAATAAAATACAATTTACGAATATTGTAATTGTTTGGCCAATGTTTGCAACAAGGCACCAACTATTGTAACAAACATCACCTATTCTTGGACAGGGAATGCATAGAGTAGTTTTGTTATTTTATAATGTTATTTTTGTTTGTAGATTTCCTAGTAGCCCCTTGTCGCTGTGCACAATGGATATATATTGTCGCGAAAGAAAGAGGAGAAGAAATATAGAACTCTTATAAAAATTCTAGAATTGTTCAATGGTGGTGGCAAATCAATGCAAAAAAGTATTAAAAAAACTTTATATGTATGTGTAAATATTTTAAGCGTATATGCTGAAAAGGATTTGTTTTCTGGGGGAAACGAACACAGCCATAAAATAAGCCTAAATTAAACTGATTATAGAAAAATTCATTGATATAAGATTACATTATATTTGTAAAAAAGAAACCGCTCATATAAAAATGACTTCTAAAAGACAGCTTTATAACAAACTGAATCTGTTTAAAGGTAATTAAACCTACATTATTGTTTTAATTACTTCTGTATAAAGAATACGTGGAAAACATGTTTCGTGTTTCCTTTCATATTTTTTTTACTTTATTCAATTTTATTTTTTATCACCTATTTGTTGTAATAGCGGCAATGTAAAATATTATCTACTACTTTTTTGAATCGGTCAAAAATAGTTGCGACCATACAAAACAAACCTAAAACAAATATGTATATTCTGCAACTCTATGTCTTTCAATACTTACTGTGTTCTGAGCATTGAAATGTAATACCAAGAACTACATCTAGTTCCACAATACAATAAGCACGAAATTTTAAACAAATATTTTTAACCTTATAAATTAGGCTTTAAGTATCATTTTAGAATAAATATTTTTGTACTGATGACTTTTTATGTTCAAGTGACATTTTAAATTTATTCCATAATATTCTTTTTCTGACGAAAGGACCTAAATACATATATTTTGCAATGGTAATTAAACTTTATGTTTAAGTATTAAGGTTTATAATAAACTGAAGTCGTTAACATTATTAAACTTTTTTCTAAGAAATGAAGATGTTTTCGTGTCTGCAAACGTGGCCACTGGAGCGTCTTATTTTTGTTCCTGATCCGTAATCTAGTACTATTATTGATCGAAGATCACAAGCACGCGATATTTGTAGGTTGAACGAACCGAACTGATACATCCGTGGATAGATATTGGATGTTCTTTTAGGGTTGGTAAGTTAACTTGGTTAGTACTAAATTGCTGTTGGCGTAGAAATAGTCTATTTTCGATTGGAACCCATACGCGAAGAATACGATGACCGTATATGGTACTCATAACCGGTTCCTATTAAAATATCCCGTCATCGTTCTCGTCGAACCCGTCGCTTGCGACGAAAGGCTTGACGAGTAAATTAACCCACAGACACAGCCCACTGAGTTTCTCGCCGGATCTTCTCAGTGGGTCGCGTTTCCGATCCGGTCGTAGATTCTGCAAAGCACTGCTCTTGCTAGGGTTCGGGTTAGCAACGTCGTCAGGTTTGAGCTCCCCGAGCTCACCTACTAGTTAAGGTTACACTGAAATAGCCGCTCAAGGCTATCAGCTTAGGTAGGATAAAAAAAAATATATAGAATCTTAGGACTGACAGCACCAAAGCGTTGGGTCTACCATAGTTGAACCACTCCCTTGACTAAGGCATTTCTATTTGATTTTTCCCGTCTGCCATAAGCTGTGCTGTGGACTACTCAGGCATGAGCAGACTGATTTACCAACACAAACCTAGTCTCAGAGGAAGGAAGAGGGGGCAATAAGTGAGGTCGGTCATTTGCTTATAATTAGAATCAAAATAGAAAGAAATGTGACATAAATGATACATGCTTGGACTGAACTGATATTTTACGCGACGTAACAAAAACATATTTTTCTAAAACTGGCGACATCTTAGATATTCATGATACTATCAGACTACGCTTACGTTCATCTTACGCAGATTCATATTTGTGCGCATTTCATGAAATACCTATCAACCCTGCGCCCGCCTGTTTCGGATTACGGTACAGCTTTAAGCTTCACTGAGTTTAACACGTTACTTACATGCGCATGGAACATCGGATCAGT